GAAAATATTTGAAAAATGGCTCCACTCTTAACCTTTTATCGATAAATACTAAAAAAACAGAATATATGATTTTTCACCAAAAAAATAAACAAAAAATTTACCTCAACCTTAAAATGAAAAATGAACTCTTAAAACAAACTGACCAGATAAAATATCTTGGAATTTCGTTTGATGACAGGTTGAAGTGGGACAAACATATTGATGTTCTGACAAAAAAAATATCTCCAATTATAGGTGCATTGACAAGATGTCCCAAACTTGATATTAAAATTGCAAACATGATTCTCTACTCTCATATACTGAGTCGTATCAACTATTTACTAAATGTTTGGGGAACTTGTTCAAAGAACAATTTCAATAAAATATCAACATTATATAGAAAATCGTTAAAAGTATTGTATCGTCTCCCATTTGATACACCAACCAATCAATTGTTTGAAATAACAAATACGTATTCTTTAGATGAAATATATAGAATTGAAACTCTCAAAATATCATATAATATCATTAATAAAAAATTGAAGTCGAATTTTATGTTGATACGGAATTCTGAAATTCATAATCATGAAACAAGACAAAATATCTTGTTTCATCTTGACGCCGCTATAGCTCCATAATCGGACAAAAAAGATTCACTCATTCAGCCTTAACTGAATTCAATAAACTACCTGACAATATAAAAAATTGCAGAAATATAGGTTCATTCAAAAATGAAGTGAAAAAATTGATTATTTCTGAGCGAACTGGATAAAATTGAACATGCCATTTTTTTTTACAAATATTATTCTTTGTTTGTCAATTTACAGTTGTTGATATATTTTGTATAATGATATGTTTACCTATAGGTATATAATTATGTACTTCCTTATACCAGAGCCTATTCTATCTGGAAGTTATTTGTTCAATAAATAAATAAATAAATAAATAAATAAAATAAATAAAGTTATGACTTGATTCTTACGTCAGATCCAGTCAATCATACCAGTGATATTCTTTCATTCTGAACTAACAGAGATATTTCAGTTGAACTGAATTGAATCAGTTAACTTGCGTTCTATCAAATTAAAGTATTTCGAAAGAATACATTTCAACTGATTCAGTTCAGTTCTGGTGAAATATTTCAGTTTTTTTTATGTTCTGGTCCTCACGAAAAGGGATATCCTGTAATGTTCAGAGAACATCGTGAGAACCAAGGAGGAATTGGTGTTCTTCTTGAATTTCTGGAGGTTATATGCCTCAGGGAACACCTCTCTTGGCAATGTGTCTAGAGCCTCGTTGTTCGTTGGATGAACGAGTTTTTGGAAAGAGATGTTCTGCAGGTCTCCAAAGTGACCACGAAGGGGTGCGAAGCCTCAACTCGACGGGTTAATCTCGCGGGGACTGCCAAGGGAGGAACAATTGTTGTTATTTCAGAAGAGCATCGTCCATGGAAATATCTATAAAATAGAGCCAGATCGCCAACTTTTCTACGGTGTTCCAGAGAAGTGAGTGAGTTTGTGAGCGAGGCATCACCCACGAGACGAATTGCCCTTTTTTGGACAGAATCCAGCAGTTTCAGGGTATGTTTGGGTGATACACTCCAAATATAGGAACAGTATCCCAGGACAGGTCAGATCTGTGCCATATAGATCATAAGCAGCTGACTGGAGGTAAAATAGCTCCTGGCCCGAAACAGAAAACCAAGTTTTTGGGATGCACTTTTAGCAATTGATCTCACGTGATTTTCCCAAGAAAGGTTATTGCTGATAGTAATGCCAAGCATCGAAATGGATGTCTTCAGATTGAAAGGATATCACTACCGTTATAGTAGGGGATCCGGCTGCAAATTTCGACCGTCATCTAGTGCTGCCAACTCAGTTTTTGAGAAATCGGGAGATTACTCTCAAGGGAAATCCACATTGAAATGAACTGTTTTCAGAATTTATGTTATATGATTTGTTTTAATAGTGAGAGGGGTATCCAAACTATAGATTCCTATTCTAAAGTGAATTTCTTATAAAAGTCTAGGCCATGTACTACGGCGTATTGGATTGTGAAATATTGTAATGAAAAAAATGTATTCATAATATATTGATAATTAAATAAAATAAAACTTCAACAACAAAAAATAAAAATTAATGTCCAATATTCATTCTTTCAATCTTCGACTACAGGAACAAAAAACACTTCCAAAATCAAGAGATTTCGACTATTCAACTTAAAATCGGTTGATTATCTATGATGCTCTCTGAATATCGCTAAATTATCCATGATATCTCCGATTATCGGTAGATTTCGACAGTGAATTGTTAGTCGGGGGAAACATCCCGATATACCGAGGTGGTTGGCAGCACTGCCGTCATCTGATAACGAAATAAAATGTGTTCCAAAGGCATGTAAAAACATTGTATTTCATCGAACGGCACCTGTGTCAATCACTTTCCTGAGCAAAATGATTGAAAATGGCTTTTCTGTGCGTTAATTTGCACTCAATTTCGCGATTTGATAATGAGATAAGAATTATGGCATCCGATACCAATTGAATATTAGATCTCAAAAACCTGTGCCACACGCCTTAATCTGAACCAAATCCACGGCATAGCGATTTATTTGCTGCCGTTAATCCGGACATACTTATTCCGTCATGTGATAACGAGTTGGATAACCAAAATTAGAATCTCTGAATATGAAGTTTTGTACTGGCAATCGAAATACTGATCAAAGGTTTTGATTTTCCCGAAATTCATAAAAGTGGCAGTATCTCCAAAACTATCAATATTTTACTGAGGTCATTTTGTGATATTCTGGTCAGTAATGAGCTGGACTATGAGCCCTTCAAAGGATGACGTTGAGTTTTGGGACACCCTGTACAAATATCTCCGCCGAGTTGAAAAAATAGTCGAGATGACCAAAATATTTCGCGCAACATTTTTTCTACAAACGTCAAAAAATATAGTTCTGAAGTAGTAATTGGCTGAATAGTGTTTAGTTTATAAGAAATAGTGTTGAACTGCTTAAGAAGGCCTTGATTATTGTTTAACATTCAGAAATTAATTATGTCTTAGATGTTTGCTTGATTGAGGACCATAAAGTTTAAATACAAAATTCTAATACATTTTACATACAATGCGCGATTGTGCGAACCTTCTTTTTTTTAATCGTTTGTTGAAAAAATAGTACATTATATACAGCGGGACTGAAGTAGTACATTTAATCCTGAAGGTAAAGTTTATGGCCCGACCGCAGGGAGGGCCATAATTTACCTGAAGGATTAAATGTACTTCAGTCGCAAGGTATATACGATACTTTTCGTACTTCCGGTATGATTTTATTAATTATTTCAATAATTTCAATCAGTTTTTTCTCTCTTCAACTCATTTAATAAACTGTCTTTAAAATAAGTTACCATAGTAACATTGCGTTGTGACAGTTATAATTTAGAAACATTGTCATTACTAGTGTCATTGTAAAGAAACATTGTTATTGATAATTATTGGTATCATGAGTGAAGAAGGTGTATCTGATATTGATAAAAGAGCAGCCGAAGTAGGTGAAGAATTGTTACCACCGAAATCTAGAAAACTATACGAGCAGCAGTACGATGCTTTTAAAAAGTGGTGCCGCTTAAAAAATGTGAGACAACCTATTGAAAATGCGCTGTTAGTCTACTTCGATGATAAATCAAAAGCGGTTTGTGCCTCAACTCTCTGGGCACATTACTCAATGCTGAAATCGGTTATTAACATTAGAGAAGATATTGATATAAGTAAATTTCCAAAATTATTAGCTTTTTTGAAGAGAAGAAATGAGGGATTTAAGCCAAAGAAGTCAAGAATTCTCACGTCTGAGCAGGTAGATCAGTTCTTACGGGAGGCTCCGGATGATAAATATTTAATGCTTAAGGTAAATTTGTAAATTTGTTTATATTCAGAAATTTTAAGAAATCAATTTTTTTGTAGGTTGCACTTATTTTGGGCGTTGCGGGAGCTTGTCGTGGAAAAGAGTTGGTTGATTTAGAAATCGACGATGTGAGAGATTTGGGCGATTCCTTCCTAATTGCGATTAGAAACACCAAAAATAAAATTGACCGAAATTTTGTGATCAAAAATTCAGAAAACAGTGCCATCAGTTTTGTGGCGATATTTCGGAAATATGTGGCATTGCGAAAGACAGGGACAACTCATTCAAAATTTTTTGTTCAATACATCAACAAAGAATGTACTACGCGAGTAGTAGGAAAAAACATGTTTGGTACATTTCCACGGCAAATAGCAGCTTTCTTGAAATTAGAAAATGCGACGTCTTATACGGGACATTGTTTTAGACGCACATCTGCGTCTTTGTTAGCTGATTCGGGAGCAACAATAGACGTGCTGAAGAGACATGGAGGATGGAAATCCTCCAACGTGGCCGAGGGATATATTGAATCGTATATTAAAAATAAACAAAAAATTTCAGATAAAATATTTGGTCAAGTCGCCGATTCGTCCACTATAGTTATGCCACAGTCCTCATTCTCGCTTCCTGTTTCCGCAGGATCTTCGAAACAAACACCAGTTCAATATGAAAAGGACCTATCTGTTACTCGTCAGTTACCTGCTGCATTAACCCAGGAAAGACTGGTCAATATGACGAACTGTCACAATATTAATTTGAATATTAACGTTAATTACCATTCTAATTAATTATATTTTTCAATAAAATATCCCTTAAATTCGTTTGTTTGTGATTTAATCGTTCCGGGAGTTTCGTCAATATTTAATCCCGGAGGGATTAAATGTGACACTTTAGTACCTGTCACAAGGGAGTGAAGTTGTCACTTTAGGCCCGGAAGTACGAAAAAATATTTTTTGCTTCTCCCCCACCCAGAGAAAAAAATATCTACGACATTGACACTAGGATTCGAATGCCCTAATTCCCAAAGATCCTCCATGATTTCATGAGATTACTCAATGATTTCCTCAGACTATTCAATGAATTTCTTGTACACGGTTGCATGATTTCTGAAAAGTCTCGCTCACCATTCTGTACATTCTCTTTCTTCATATCAACTTTCGCCTCCACCGACAGCGGATCCTTCCCCATCCTGTACATCTGCTTGCCGCCATTCCCCCCATCCGAGCCGGAAAGCCGTCTCTTCTTGCCCCCCTTGCCCCCAGACACCCCCTCGTCGATCTTCCAACCACCGAAGATGTCCCCTTGGTGGTCGACGTTCCACGAGCCCTTCGAATTGTCCGAATTGTCGCTGAGAAGGATCTCCGGATGCTCGTACAGCTGGTAATCCATACTAATGTCTAAGTTCTCTATTTTCGCTACTCTACGCCACAGGGATGAAAGGCTCACAGGGACTTAGAACATCACGAAGAACGAGTTGTACAACTTCTTGATGCCGGTCGTCTCCCGCTGCCTATGGTTTCTCAAAAAACTACAATCCACGCTTGGCATCTTAATTATTCTACTACCAATATCCATTTACAGAGGAATTTCCAGCACCCTGTGGAAAAGGAACTGCTTTTCTGCGGCACAAGAGCTGATCCGAAGCCAAGGCCGTTTTGGCGAAAAGTCTCACTGAACTAAGGCACCAACCGTATTTACCATATACATCTAGACACCTTGGAGATCGACGAGAGACTGCAAGAATGCGCGAGCTAGAACGAGCGAAGACGTTGCTAAGCGATTTAAATTGATGTCAATTGGCCAATCTAGTAAGCCTGGATGTGGTGCACGCGCTGAGCTGGGCGTCTCTTTTTAAATCAGACCTCTTTTTCGCTCTTTCTTCAGAATGAAGAAACCGCACAGGCGGTGGACTTTGGAGGGATCGGTTGTCGAGGGTTTCAAGGGTGCTGCGATGGATGTTGGGCGGAGGTTCGAATGCATTCAGAACCTGAAACAGAAATGATTGATCGGTTGACCATACTCATAAGTAGACACAGTGTATATCACATGTTTCTTCAGGGAACCACCCAGAATCAACATTTATGCACTAGCGGGAAGTAAAGTGCACGTTATCGCCCAGATTGTAATTGTAATTGAAAATAAAAGGCGTTTATTATTATTATTTGCGGGCGTAAAGTTGTACTTCACCGCCCGCGGGCCCATTATCGCCCACGGGCCATAAAGTGCACATTACCGCCCGCTGTTCTCAAGTTGCTTATATCCAAACATCCATTTGTGGAAATGTGGAATACCTATATTTGAACTCTCAGCTGATTCTATCGTTATGATTATGATACATGTTATGGTTCATCCGATTCCATCTTCGCTATAACTTCCTTCTTAGAATAGTTGCTTTCTGGCTGTCTGAAGGTTTCAGCCAAAAGATGACAATTTCAGCTTGTTTTTTGGATGTATTAAAGATGTATTGCTAGACAGCAACCATCAGATTGATTGATAACGTCAAATTTAGGTAGCTATACAGGGTGGGCCACCAGTAACGTCTCGGTCTCTAGAAGGCTAACCACTTATCTTCTTGGAATTCTTCCTCTGCATGTCAACATAGGCTACCATTTAAAATTATTTCGAAACATACAGGGTGTCCCCAAAAACCATAAAACACTGAAGTTAAACTTTTTTCTATCGAACACCCTATATATTATTTCATTTTCAGATTCTCCCTGATGAGCTGATTCCAACGACCCATCATACTTGGGGTCTACCAGTTATAATTACTGAAATATAGGGTGTGAAAAATCGAGATTTTCCAAGTTCAAGAATTTTTTGTGTCGAAACTATTCATAATTGTTCAAAACGGCTTACATGTCCCTATCTCAACTTTTGATTAACAATCTACTGATATTTAATTGGGACATATACCGGGTGATCAAGATTCTGAATTCTGCACCACCCTGTATTTGTTTCAATTAAATGTCAGTAGATAGTTGATCAAAAGTTGAGATCGAGACATGTGAGCCGTTTTGACCAATTATGACCGGTTTAGACACAAAAAATTCTTGAACTTGGAAAATCTCGATTTCTCACACCCTATATCTCAGTAATTATAACTGCTAGACCCCAAGTATGATGGATTGTTGAAATCAGCTCACCAGGGAGAATCTCAAAATGAAATAATATATAGGGTGTTCGATTGAAAAAAGTTCAACATCAGTGTTTTGTGATTTTTGGGGACATCCTGTATGTTTCAAAATAATTTCAAATTGTAGCCTATGTTGACATGCAACTTCCTAGAGAGGAAGAATTCCAAGAAGATAAGTGGTTAGCCTTCTAGAGACCGAGGCGTTACTGGTGGCCCACCCTGTATACTGGGTATACATATTGGTACATTTCGAAGAATTAATCTCTGTTAGTGAACGAAGAGTTTTACTCTTACGATAATTGCGAAATTCGTGCGGTAATTTTTAATATGTATATTATACACATAAACATTGTGCTTCTCTTGAAAACTGAATTTATGAGTAACATATTAATTGTAGTTTGTTGAAATCTAGTCATTACTTGTGACTCGGGAAATGAATCACTAGTGCATAAAATTTTGTATGCATCACGTGCGTAAAATGCGTTTATAGCCTTCGGCGTCTAATAGCCCTCGACTAACGCCATCGGGCCATTATTCACGCCGCAGGCCATAAACGCCTACTTCACGCCCTTGATACGTAAATAACTATTATTCTTCATTTTTTTATACATTCATTATCATTATATCATTGAAAATATCAAAATTATTAGGAATGGAAAGTGGCTACTAGATTTTTTGTAATTTTAAATTTCTTCTGAACTGGAAGCAGAATAAAGATGTTACATTTTTGATGAATCTATTTGCACACATGAAAATCAATCGCTAGTATTGTAGGCATGATATATTGAACTTCTTGTAACTATGTTGAGGCAATGTCATTTCTTATCTTGGAAATCAGCATCAGAAGGTATAACATTGGAGGAAATGAATTATATTCGAACATTCTAATTGCTTCAACATATATCTTTTATGGACAATAGATTTTAGTCTCTTACAATTCAAAATACTCATACTCTTTCTCAATATTCATCTTCAAATAGTTAACACAACACCATCTGTACATATAGTTTGAATGTTCTGTTCATAGTAACAGTAAGTAATTGTATCATTCGCAAAAATATAGTCTGAGCACTCTCCTACCACCTCTGACATGATTAATATGAATGAGAAATAACAGTGGGCCCAGAACACTTCCCTGTGGTACACCTCTATTGCATTCAATCTCACCTGACACTTAATTATTGATCTTTAACACTCGTTTCCTATTGTATTATTGAAAATGTTTCGTATTTTTTTTCTGAAAAATCCTAAGATTATAATTTTCAACGGAAGACTTTTTTCTTCGAAAAGTATAAGGTATGATCGCAGAAAAAAGAATGAGAATAAGAAGTTTCAGTTTCCACATATTGAAAAATTCCAAAATTGTGCTTAAAATGGCCCATTCAAAAGCCGTTCCTCAGATTTTTTAATTGTTTTTCATTTTCTTATAATAGAGCCAAGACATCGAGTTTCTCTCATCAGTCTCTTCTTGTAAATACCAAATATAAATAACACAAATCCAATGATATTCGAATGGAATACCATTTATTGTTCATGTAAAAGTAATATTTCATGTTAAGTTCTTTCAAATTATATCCCTGGGGTATACCTAAACTGTTAGGAATATTGATGCTATATGAATTCCAAATGTTTGGTAATTTCAAGTGGCGCTCTGAAGATTTTGGAATAAAAAATGAAGGAAGATGACTTCAGAAGCAGTTGAATAAATATTTTTTTCCAGAAGTACCTACTTATTTCAATATTTTGTATTCTTGTTCTGATATAATATATTCCTTCAATTAATTCACTTGTTAAATAAAACAAATCATTGAAAAATTGTACAACACTGTTATTTTATTCAGGTGAATTTGAGAGTACATTTCAAAAAATTATCTACAATTCTCATTACATGACATCATAATGCCGAACATTTCTCTTCCAACAACCCCCCAAACACTTCATAATGGTGGTTCAGATCCTTGATGGTATGGATTTTGCACAAACTGCCAAGAGCCCCATTAGAAGATTTTGCCCCATAAAACACCCTCTTCACCCTGCTATGGATCAAAGCCATAGCACACATAACACAAGGTTCACAGGTCAAGTACACATAGTAACCAGTACACAAGTATGGACCATCAGCCGGCTCAAGCAGCTCCTCTTTGGGTTTGAAGGGCCTTGCGCCAAAACAAACTGTATATTTTTCCTTGAGAGTTTGGAGTAATGCTTGTGGAATACCATTGAGATTTAAATTACCATCACCCTGTGTATCAGTGCATTTTTCAGTGCCCCAGACTCCACCATTTTGAGTTTTGGCAACATTGTCAATAGCCACCATTGCTGCATGATGACAAGGTCCTTCATTTGTTCTGCTGAATCCTAAGCCTACTAGGGAATTCAATTTGGGGTCTACTACCACACAACCAACTTGCTTGTCATGGAAATCATGTGATTTTGCATACTCAGCTATGTCTAAGGCAATTGTCATAAATTGTACATGGTCTACAAGCTCTTTTGGTGTGAAAAGAGTGTTGGTCACTAGTTTTTCCAAGTACTTGTTTGCATGGAAGTTGCAGGGCCACAGTTCATTGATTTTTTCCCATTGCCTTCTAGTCTCTGGTGCTACTTTGGCTACTTGTACTATCCTTAAATCATTTTCTAAAATGCTTGAATCAAAATTCAACCCTTTCAATAAGTCATATATTGTTTCCTTTCCCATATCATTAACAGGCATCAAAAGTATATTTTTGCCTTTTACTCTTTTTAGATGTGTTAGTTCAGGGATTGGTAAAACTGAATTCAGTTTGAGTATGGCTGATGAAATGTTTTTTGGGTTTGTTATGGATGCTACATAGACTTGGGTAAGGGGTATGTCCTTGATTAAGTGATCTGATAACACTGGATAAAATAACTCCTTTTTGGGTAGATCTTCATCGCAAATGTCCAGTTTGATTCTCTTTGATTCTGCCATATGAGTGGTTTCAATTTCACCTGATGAAGTTTCAAAATCAATGTTATATGGCCTGGACAAATCCAAAAACAAAAGAAATATTTTTTTAGTACTTTGAATTATAGGTATTTTTTGACAAATGACCATTGAAGGGATATGCTCATCTTCCCTGAACACACTGTATATTGAGTATATATGGTACATCAACACATGAATTATTTAGTGAAATATTGAAACATCTTCAATATTATTTTAACCTTGAACAAATCATTTAACCCCAATTTAAGAAGTCAATTGGTTTTTAAAGACACTCATGGAAACATTTTTTAATGAAACAATAACACATATTTCTACCTAACAATCCTGATAATCTTGGCAATAAATGAAGGATTATTCAAAAAGATTGAAATACCTCAATTTACGTATAAATACGAAATTATCTATGAGATAATTATAATTATTATTAATTTGGAGAATAATTTTATCAATAAATAAACTCAACCTACCTAGAGAACCAAATTGATGTCTAGGCGATGGCACAGAGGAGAAGAAAATATTACCATTTCTACAAATTACGTCAGAAGTCAGAACATTGATAATGGTGGATTTGTTTGTTTTTCAAATCTACAACTCTCAATTCCCAGCACTAATCAGGAAAAATAAAAAAATTAATGTGAATATAATAATATTAAATGATAATAATAGGAAAGCACTGAAAGGAGCAATGTTGCCAAGCCAATTTTGAAAACGGCTAGATTGGAAGCGCGCCGCAACTGAAACAAATTTTAGCCATTTTTTTCGGCTAATATAGCCATTTTTGCTAATTTTTTTTGGAAAACCAGGAAATTTAATCATGGACTACGATTCTGACATGAAAGGTGACTCACTCTGTTTACATCATGCCATGAACAGACACAACTATGAAAAAAAAAAACAACTTTGGCAAATTCAGCAATAAAAAGGAACCAGGCCTTAAAAATTTGAGTCTAGAGCGTAGATCTAGTGTAAGATGCGCTAGACTACTGACACTGACTAGTATTAGCAATGAACTCAATATGGACTAGTATTAGTAATATTAGTATTGAAGTTATCGATGATTCTTCGATTCATGCGCATGACAAAATTTTGGAATGAAAAACGCACCGAATTTCGTGAATATAATGAAGAATAAAAAATAGCTGAATAGCTAGATGGAATTTTTAGTAGCTAGATGAGTTTAAAAATGGCTAGAACTACCCATAAAATGGCTGAGTTGGCAGCAGTGGAAAGAGTAGTAAGGACAATCATATTTTATGGATGACGTGATTTGTGATCGATGACAAACAAATGACAGATGACACGAAAATCTGAAGTCAACAGTGTTGTCAGTGTTGCCGTTTACATAACACAATCAAAAAAGATGATAATGAGTTTTCGCTATTATTTTGTGACGGCTGCAACTATAAATATTTCAGATTAGTCGCATTATGTCAAAACTGGAGCGTCATTGTTTCCTGAAATTCTAAACATATTAAATTACCGCTTCCGGGACATTAGACGCCGCCTGCATCTGTCACTTTCAAGAAATTAAAAATTGAGGTTATCCGACTCCCGAGTCTGGTTTTCTGTTAGTATTTATCATAATGTCAAAGAGATTACTTAATGCTCTGGAATATCCACAAGTAGACTCTCTAGATCTGAATGGTAACTACATACATTGAATATCATTAGGTATCAATTAACTTACCTATCACATTTCCAGATGAAAATACCTTCAGGAAGGTAATAGCTTGGACAGAAATGAATAGAATCCAGAGAGCACCTCCAAATATAGTGAACATACTCAAAAATATCAATGCAAGAGACTGGCAGGAAGTATACACAGATTACAAAGATCGTATGGGATGTCCTGCTCTGAGTAGCAAACTTGAGGAACTGCATTGGCTGTTAGGATATGCTGTTCAATTAGAAACTCAAAAAAATAGTAACTATTATTCCAAACTGAGTTATTGGTTTGAATTGTTCTTCAACAACAAATCCTGCAGAAACATCTTTATCCATGTTTCATTAATTTTGGTTTTTCTTACAGGAAATGTATATTTGAAACATGCTGTTGAGAACTTACAAAGTACCAATGTAGTGCCATCTGTTGTTGCTGAGAATCTTTTGGACAAGCTGGACTGTGAGTAATCTAAGATAACCCTGATATTGTGATAATGTTTTTTTTTTTTAGTTAGATGCAAAGAGTTTGCAGATGGTATCAATGAACTGGCAAAAACATTGAAAACTGCACCTCATCCAGATCCTTTTGTGACACTGAAAGCTGTTAGAAAAGTTATCACTAAAAGATTGGCCCCAGATTGTGTAGCAAACCCACAAAATTACATTCTGACAGTAATTCAACTTTCTTGAGGCTCAAACACAAGTTTCAACATGATTATCATTTTAGGGTACTCCTTTCCCAATTCAAGATGCAGATCTGGGTTTTGATTTGAACAATGCCACCCTGAATCAGGCAGCAAAGATTTTGCGGATGCTGTACATTCAGGACTTGAGAGATTTGCAGACAAAAGCCAATGAGCTCATAGTAGCTGTGCAAGGTGTAACTGCTAATCCAAAAACTGACACAAAATTGGGACAAGTTGGATACTAATCTCAAATGAACAATGACTGTATTTGCCTAGATTTAAGCACTGTGATTAAATAAATCATACTGATATGATAGAACTACTTATTTTCATTTCTCTGGGTGATAGGGAATGGAATAAAGAACAATCAATGCATGTACCTACCTTATTTTCTGAAAGGTGATTTATCAAAGATTTCGCCTATGCCAAGACTAATGCTACCTAAAATACAAAAAAACACCTCTAACTGAATTCAATTTCATAATTGACATTTTACTCACTAATTCCTAGTAAATACAAGGACATTCTAGCATTGGAACTTCTTCCAGTGTGGATCAAGTATGCTCCAATCCCACATAAACAACAAACAGAAGTGATTTTACATGATAAACAAGGTTTCCTTGTTTTTTTATCTTCCATTTTCTTATTCAATTAACTATTAGGATAACGGAAAATGTAAATTTGAACACATTTGAATCAAGAAACCTCCATCATAATTTCAAGTTCCCATCTAGCAGTGTCTAAAAGTGGATATGGCTAAGTTACCTATGTCCGTGATTTTAAGAAAATGTGGCAGTTAAAAATGGGTAATAGTATATTATGTAACAAGTGTTATAAACGTCCTTTTAGTAACGAGTAGTTTAAGCACGAGCGGAGCGAGTGTTTAATAAAAGAGTGTCTAGAAGAGTTTATAAACGCGTTACATACTATGATTTTTCTACGAACTCCGAAAATTACATTAACATACCTGCAATTCCTGCTAACCTACAAAATAATTCTAAAGGAATGGGAATTGAGAACATAATACATGCAACTGCATGCAACCAGCGAGACACGTATAAGTGATATTGGTTGTAGATGTGTCCAGTCAATTGCTTACTAACCTTCGTTTCACGTTAATTGTTATGCTTAGCGCAGAATAAATAATTTGTTCTCAAAGATGGATGCTTCATTTTTACACTTCTTGGAGGTATGCAAGTACCAGAACATTCTCTTCGATTTCACTTTCATCTACTTTTCGCATATATTTTTAATGAAGAATTATGATACATACGAATATTGTTTGAATAATTCTGATACAAAATTCGAAAATAACAGTTGACAGTTAATACAATTGACAGGCCAGACATGTCTCAAATTACTGAAGCTGTGTTTAATGAACTGCGTTGCCATGGTAATGTGTTTAAGAAATCGGCGTGTTGCCATGGTAACGTGTTTAATATTTTGAATAAATCACAGATCGACAATCCGTGATTAATCGATCATTTAGCGTGGTACATATCCGTACGCTAAATGCCATCTTAGTTATGTGAGTAGAAAAAAATATATGTATATTTGTGTTTGTTGCACATGAAACCATACCGATTGTCTTTCTCTTTCTCACGTAACTTTCAATGATTTGTACAGGACGATGTTAAAAGTTGGATCTTTGTTAGATTTCAAACATTTCAGCGGGATTTCAGGATTCCTTGTATAGGATACTTTATCAAAACGACAGAATCGAGTTGTCAAACAATATTTAATAATCATTCACACTCAAAACCTGTAAACATCATTTTCCTTTGAAAAAATAATCTAATATGCTAAAAAGGTTCACACTAACACTATTTGTACCTGTATCACAGCCTACGTTGTTCGAATGCACCCCATAATCTAAGATGTCCTTAGTACTCTTTCCGTTGACCATTGCCTTCTGCGCTTCCTTTTCGAGACAAACGTGCAACATCTATAACGCAAATATCAAATCAAAAACCCTCTATTTGTATTTGTTCCCGAGAAGAATTGAAAGGTTAATGTAGGAAGGCAAGTACAGACAAAACATGAAATTTTACAACACTATGATATTTGGCCCAGGTCATTTTAAATATCCAGGATTTCTGATTAAATACATAGTTTACTGGGGGAGGCCACTGATTTTTTAAACGACATCATAGTCAGGTCTACATAACGTAACATGCCTATCCTTCAGCTGACCAATCACACTGCAACAACTGCAGAATGGCAAGGTATCAGAGAGAGATAGCTACAGTTCGGGACTAATACGTCACGGCTCCACTTTCATATCTGGCTCTTTGAAATACCGAATGGAATAATCATATGCTGATTTCATATTTAGAAAATATAATAAAGGTAGATTTGAAAATATTTGAAAAATGGCTCTACTCTTATTAACATTTTATCGATAAATACTAATAAGACAAAATATATGATTTTTCAACAAAAAAATTAACAAAACATTTACCTCAATTTCAAAATGAAACAATTAGATATATCTAGGTATTTGGTTTGATGACAGGTTGAAGTGGGGCAAAGGTATTGATGTTTAGACGAAGAAACTATCTCCAATAATTGGTGCATTTTGGAAATGTCCCAAACTTGACATTAAAATTGCAAACATGATATTCTAATTGGTGCATTTTGGAAATGTCCCAAACTTGACATTAAAATTGCAAACATGATATTATTCTCTCTCTCTCATATACTGAGTCGTATCAATTATTTAATGAATGTTTGGGGATCTTGTTCAAGAAATTATTTCAATCAAACCGTCAACGGGGGGATATATAGTGGAGTGAAAAGGATCGTAGTGTAGTTTCATGTGCAGGTTTCTGTAAACAAATTGTGTTCAATGATCAGACTGAGAAGGTATAATCATTACCGACAAATAGCTCATTAATATAACCCAGTCAACAATAAGTTTTTCTACTCCACGGGTGAGTTGAAAAAATCGAATTTGTATTTAAAATTAGGTCTGTTTTTGAAAGTTTGACATACCTGGGGATTCATCCATAGAATACATAGATACATACAAACAAAAAACGTGAAACTAATACAAACAAGTCTGTTGTCAATCGTTTGAGTCGAATCTAAAATTTGTAGGTTATATTTTCAAGTGAAACTCACTTGTTACCGAAAATATGCCGATGTTTTAGAAAAATTGTGAAAAAAAGATTGTGCCAGAAGGCAATCGCAATTATAACGTGGAATATTCAAAGAGGGCTGTGAAAGGTCGTCCGAACAGTTCGTAGTCCCGTTCAGCCCATAAAACCAACGTAAGTTAGCTATTTTCGGTGTAATTTTTTATACAAGTATATTGAACTATTCAATGTATGGAAATTCTTGAGGAGGCTCAGCCTCCGTTGCCCCCTCTGAGGGGCCGCTACTGTAATGAAGAAAATAAAACGCTATATAGATTCGATGCCATTCAACTTCAACTCATAATATTGATTGAATAGGTATCAAATGTAAATCATGATTCATAGAGATTTGGATGAATTTCATCCTCCATATAATTCACCTACCTACTCTTCTCTGTGGTTATGAATATAGTATTCCTGATGGAAATCATATCATTGTGAGTTTCATTTTTCTTTGAAACATATAATTTCAATATTCTGTAGTCATTGAAAAATCGTAAGCGGTAAAATAAAACAGTGTTATACCTGTTTATTCAAAATGGGCACGAGGAGATTGAATTTGGTTATCTTCTTGTTTATCGTCTCCACTACGTTCTTGTAATGGTACACTTTTTCGCTCCAAACTATATTTTCTTCTACGGAGAGGGGGTAGGGGCCAAAATGTTTACGTTCTGTCAAGAGATCGTTGCGTAGGTGCCCGGCTTCTTCCCGTATCTCTTTTTGTAAAGTTATCCATTCTGGAGTAAATCCATTTTCTATCAGTACCTGAAATAATTAAGAGATACGTGCAGTTCGAATCGAATAAATTATGCTGTATGATGGAACACGTAGTAAAAGGTGATCGAATTTTTTATTTCGTATGTTGGTGACTTCGGCATCCCTGTAAATCAAGCAACTGTATGTCAATGAACAATAAGGATATTTCACTCTAAAGAATAGCTCAATTCACTAAATTTATAATCTATTACATCAATCATCGTCATTTGTCCTCTGCTGACGTCACTGCGTTGCCTTCTAGGTGTTTACACAGAATGGGCTTATATCACAAAAAATTTTCATTTCATAATTCGGTAGAACTCACCCAAACTAGCTCACCACCGCAAACCGTTTCTTGCTGTGAGCTCCCTACGTTTTATAAAAAATTATTGAAATTATTGAAAGCAAAATTTGTGAGGTACATAGATTCAAATTAACTTTTTATAACAGCAGATTAATATGAAACTATATTTTAGGCCCATTTTCATTAGATGATTTTAAGATCCGTTTGAGAGAATATGTTGTGCCATTCATTTACAAAACAGACTATTTGAAAAGAGAACCCAGCCAACCATCGTGTTACATCAACATCTGTGTGATGTAACAACCTTGCATAAATTCAATATCTTGTTAACACATCTTATCGACGTAGATTCGATATCAACGTCGCAAGGTGACATCGCAACCAGGAAACTATGTAAGTGGCAGCGACTTCTTCAAACTAAATCTCTTCGACGTTAACTAAATAATTCACATTGATATCCTCATGAGATATCTTTGTGACCTGTGATTGTGACGCAGACATGCGCAAAACGAACGCACACGCCAGACGCCATGTTGAGCTGTGCATCGCCATGTCAATCAGTCAGTCAGTCAGTCAGTGAGTGAGTGAGTGCAATCTAAAACAAGGTGGATGAAAGATCCCAAGATGATGTATAAGTGTATTTTTTTGCAATTGCATTACCTCGTTGGTTCCAGCACTGGGACCAAACGCCCCATAAGTCGAAACTTGTGCGGGGTTAGGTATACATACAGACACAAACATCCATGGCCTAACTAGGATTCGAACCTATGTCTCGGTGGGAGTCCCCATACGAACTCAGCGCATTCACGCTCTCGACCACCGAGCCGTGTGTGTGATATGTATCATTTATGAATAATGTATATTTGTATTGCTATATATTATACCGGGTGGCTACGGAAGTATTGCCTACGGAATATCTCAGTCAGTTATTGTATGAAGTAGGTTTGTGAAATTTGGAGCGTCGATATAATGACATAAGAGCTAGAATTTGAGCATATTGACATGTAGGAGTTAACTTCCGGTCTGACCGGAAGTAACATCAACTTTCTTATTTTAAATGGAAACCCTACTTTTTTTTTCTTTTCGCTTTATTCAGCATTCAATTCCCTTTCTAATGACATATCACAAGTTGGTATCTAACCAGAAACTAGATCAGAAAAAAATTATCATTGAAATTCACCGAGTAGAGTAGGCCGTGGAAGCAAAATGTTCCTATCCAAGTTATGGACTTACAGAGTATTGTTTTTTTCCCAATTTTTCCAATATTTTTTTTGGCGGCTTTTTATAACGCCGACGAATGAAAATAAAATATCACAGTAGTAGCAACTGTTATGAAGTGACGTATGGTTTCCATAGCCAACTTTTTGATTTTTGGCTTTCATTTTGCTTCCACGGCCTATTCGGTGAATTTCAATAATAATTTTTTTCTGATCTAGTTTCTGGTTAGATACCAACTTGTGATATGTCATTAGAAAGGGAATTGAATGCTGAATAAAGCGAAAAGAAAAAAGTAGGGTTTCCATTTAAAATAAGAAAGTTGATGTTACTTCCGGTCAGACCGGAAGTTAACTCCGACATGTCAATATGCTCAAATTCTAGTTCTTATGTCATTATATCGACGCTCCAAATTTCACAAATCTACTTCATACAATAACTGAGATATTCCGTAGGCAATACTTCCGTAGCCACCCGGTATGTGTCATGTTTTACTTGAAGATTACTAATTAGGGCGATTGTCATGATAAGTTTTGTATCATCTGTTTTTACTTTCGGAAAATGAACATTTTCTTCGTAAAGTTGAATAATTATTATTATTATATCTCACGAATATCACAGGTACGGCGACCACATCATCGATGACGCAGTGTGATGTATTTGTAATATGAAATGTACACTTGTATGTGACCTGGTAGTGACTTCAAATGCGATATCGCATGTCACAAAGTGATGTGTCGTATACATCACTTATACATCTCATGGTTGGCTGGGAATTCATTATTATCATCACACGAAATGCAAAACGAAAGTATCATGGAGAAACAGAAATTAATTGCAAAACTAACTAATGAAATTGAAAATTTCAGAACGAAACTGAGGAAATCAAGTAAATTGCAACGTGATATATATCATATTGAATGGCGTTTTCAATGCCGACCGAACTAGCTATTGTATTGTTACATGCATTCTTTTCATTTTTATAACTGTAGTTCTGCGAAAAGTGTCTGGATCGCTATACATTCAAGTGGGTATGTTTATACCCCATTTCTATTTTCCATCTACGGCTATGATTGATTTGACAGGAAATCTAAATCTGAAAATCATGCGCGATTAGGGAAATTGAAAAGACAAAGAGCAGAATATATGTCTTATTCTTTTATTCACTCAATGTAATTAATCGAATTTAGTAGACGGCGGAATAGCCCAGTGGTTGAGCGCTCGACTAGCAATCAGAACACCGAAAAGTTGCTATAGGTTAGATTCCCGGCAAAGCAGAGAGTTTTTATTTATAAAACGAGTTATGAATACAAATTTTCGTAGTCTCGGTCGGAGATGATTCCGCACGATTCTCTGTTGTTTCCGATTCACAGTGCTACTCCTAAGGTGGCGTATGGAGTTAGTAACAACCTCTCGTGAGGTCGATGGCCAGTTGCTGGTATGTACATACATATACCAACGAAGTACATATATTTTTTGTTTACCCTCGAATTTATAGTCTCCTTTATACTAGCCTATCTTTCAGATTTCAGAATTCGAATTTTGCATTGAGTCGGTATGTAGAGTTCAAATCGATTTTTACGCAACTTTTTTGAATAACTTTCTCAATGTCTCCAACGCAAAGCAAAATATCATGAATTTGTCTACTTCGCGGGATCGCAGCAGGCTGGGTTTGAGGCTGTCACTCGGGCTGAATATTGATAAAAGTATTCGGCCAATGTCAAGGTCTACATCTGTACCAAAAATCGAATCTCTGATTTCAAAAATGATTGAAAAATAGGGGTGTCTTCATCGTGAGTGTGTCCAACACTTTATATTATTTTGGCTCACTATAATATAACATGACTTTTTTTTCATTACCTGTACCAATAAGCCATTTGCCCCCCCCCCCCCCAACAAGAAGAAACATCCACGACGCCCCTTGCAATAAGTCTCTGGAATTTACCGTCAAACGATCATTACATCTAATCCTCACCATCTCTCCCTATATTTCATGGGCTCCAAAGGATAAAAAAGAACTTACTTCGTTTATTTTATGAGTTACAAAATCCACATACGGGTTCATATTTTGATGGGTAGGCAGTGGTTTTCCACTATTTTTCAAATTCTTAAATTCACCTCTTGCTATTGATTCTTGAATTAGATCCTCTACCAACCGATCAAAACCATGCCTACAAAACACAAATCAAAGTGAAGCTGATCTAATAAGAATTGTGCTTTTGAGTGTTGATCTATTGATGAGAATATTTTATTTACGGGTACAGGGTTTCATCACTAATTGGAAATATTTCAGCTAAAACATCCTGTGCTCAAAATATGAATATTCAGCCCAAATCAACTAGATAACATGTGTCTCCTGTCTTTTAAAGGTCGTTTCTTTATTTTTTATAGTCAAAAATTTTAAACTTTTCATGTTACGTCGAATGAATGGTGATGAATAGGTGAAGTCAGTTTTTATTCTGTTTCGTTATTGGTCAGATAATCTTCCATTTCCACTCATAAAGCAAGGTTGTCACGTCACCAATTATAATAAAGTTATCAAAAAGGTGTTGGATTCATGTCGTTGAATAAATAAAAGATAATAGGAGGAAGAGGAACCCATATTGTAGTTCACTCTTAATTTTTTTCGAGCAACTAACATGTCCAAATATCTCTTATTCTCCATAACAAAATATCATGTAAATATTGGAGACTCGGCAACATTATGCAGAATGCTGAGAACTGACAAGGCCACGTCCACAATTCGTGTGCCGTGTTGTCACGTTCACCGATTCAAATTTATTAAAAGCAATAAGCCACAAATCATAAGGAAACATTTTAAGACAATTGCATTTTTATTTCTGATTAGAAATATTGAATTAGAATTTATGAATTATTGAATATTTAATATTTCTGAAGTTCTCTATAGTATTTCAACACATGATGGCAACTTTGATATGGTCTGCCCCTACTTAAAAAATCGTTGCGTCAGTTTTTAGTGTCGGTAAAGGACCCGACACGAAAACACGGGAAATTGGCTCTCGGTGGAATTGGCTGAAATTTTACTATGTTGTTGTGGGATGGCTCATTAGAAAAATATGTGAGTTTGAAAAGTTTTGTATGTTTAATTTCCGAGATATAAGCCGACAAAGTTCGTAAAAACGTCGTATCAGGGTAGGATTTACAAAGAAAAAAAAAACAGTTTTTTAGTAAAAATAAGACAAAATAATCTAGAAAATGTATTGATCGGAACTCAAATACATGTCTAGTTATGATCACATAAATTATAGTGAATCAGGGTGTATACGAAGCAAGGTAAAAAAATTCATTTTTCGGAAAAAAAATTCGAGCACTATTCCAAAACCAACAATAAGTTATATTTTGGTGAGACATCATAGTTTCAGTCTATTGTAGGCTTCGAAAACGTATTTTCATTCTTGATAGCTATCTCTGTTCGAAATATGAATTCTTAGAATTTTATGTTATACCGTTACCACCGATACAACAGGTAACGGTTATACCCCTTTTGGAAAACAATTGACAGATTGTTTTTGATCACAAAAAAAGGGATTGATTGATACTGTTGATTTATTGAAAGCTGAGGTAACTCACTAGCGAATTCAGTTGTTCAATATTGCTTTTCATTTAGATACAGGGTGTGTTAGATTTTGCTGAAGATTATGTAAAATGTTTAAATTGAATATCTCGAAAACAGTTCCGTTAATTTGGATCTCATTTTACTGGCACTAATTTGAATATGTTGACTATAATATGCAAAAAGTTTGTCAATTTTTTATGCTTCGTTTCTTAGATATGCATTTTTGAGTTTACAGTATTACAGGTGTTATAGGGTTATTACCTCGGATATTACTATCGATTCAACAGAACTTTAAGGAATCCATACTGTTGAGTTTCATATTGTTATTCAATGTAGTTCGTGTTGTTTATTGTAACAAATTATTGATTTCTATAATAGTTTCATAATGTAATTGAATGTTCGAAAGATTCCGTAAAGTTCTGTTGAATCGATAGTAATATATGTGAGGTGATAGCCCTATAATACCTGTAATACTGTGAACTCAAAAATTGATATTTCAGAAACAAAAAAAAAAAAATAGAAAAACTCCTTGCATATGAAAGTCAACATATTCAAAATAGTGTCAGTAAAATGAGATCCAAATTAACAGAACTGTTTTCGAGATATTCAATTGAAACATATTAAATAATCTTCAACAAAATCTAACATACCCTGTATCTAAATGAAAAGCAATATTGGACAACTGAATTCGCTAGTACCAATCAATCCCTCTCCTTGTGATCAAAAACAAGCTGTCAATTGTTTTCAAAAAGGGGTGTAACACAAAATTATAAAAATTCATATTTCAAACAGAGATAGTTATCAAGAATCAAAATACGTTCTCGAAGCCTACAATAGACTAAAACCGTTGATTGATATATTGTAATATATCAATCAACGCTAAAACTATGATGTCCTACCAAAATATAACTTGTTGGTTTTGGAATAGTGCTCGAGTTTTTTTTTCGAAAAATGTTTTTTTTTTACCGTGCCTCGTATACAGCCCGATTTACTATAATCTATGTGATTAAAACTAGACATGTTTATGAGTTCCGATCAATACATTTTCTAGCTTATTTTGTTCCATTTATACTGAAAAAAACAGTGTTTTTCTTTGTCAATCCTACCCCGATACGACGTTTTTACGAACTTTGTCGGCTTATATCTTACAAACTAAACATACAAAACTTTTTAAACTCACATATTTTTCTAATGAGCCATCCCACAACAACATAGTGAAATTTCAGCCAATTCGACCGAGAACCAATTTCCCGTGTTTTCGTGCGGGGTCCTTATTTCTAGCCGTTTGAAAATTACCGTGGCATTATTGATGATTTTAGCACCTGCGAAACATCCGAAAAACTCTTTAAAAATATGAAATTGAATAGTATTTGAGTGATGATTCTATTAAAGAAATAAAAAAGATTCAGTCCACTCGCCTATTATCAATCAATCAACTTTATTATTCCCAAGAAACAACATTTGTTTATAGCAGATTCATGTTCAACTTGAAATATCTAAAAAGAGAATAACTTCATTGTTATGAATAAAGAGTATAATATTCACATAGAAAGTATTGGAGAATCCATAAATTATGATAAAATGGCAATTCCACCAGTAGCATGAAATTTGGGAAGGATCAACCAGTCACTTGCCCCTCTTGTAGTGCCCAGAACCATTTACTGCACATAATTCAGTATAATTTAGAGTATCTACATTGCCCAATGACATGTCAATTGTTTTCAAGTTCTGGGCACAAATAATTTCCAAATTAAAAAAAACCCATGTAACTCAGACACATTTCATCTAGATGATTCAGTTATGAAACACCCTGTATATATTTAATGTATATAATATATGATGGGTTTCCAGATAAATTAATATATCTATCATTGAACCTTCCTTACAGTAACAAACTATGATCATGATAAAAATATCAGAAATCAGAAATTGAAATGCAAGATTATACCTATATTGTTCACTAACTTTCAATGTTTGCTATCAAAGTACCTAAATGATTCAAATGAAATGGACACATACTTCAATAATAATAATAATAATAATGAAAGTACTTTATTGAACAAAAAAGTTCAAATGGCTATGGAGTATGGACCAAAGTCTTTCTGTCAAACATACTTCAATTTAGTTGAACAAGGCCGCCAAGGTCATTAGATGACTTTGCAATGACATTTAAAACTACAGGAAAACATCACAACAGGGACGTTCTGTTTTTCACTGGGGGCTCCATCAATCCACCAACTGTGTCGTTCATATATTATTTGGTCGATTCCAGTTTAACACGCGTTCGTTTATACTGTTGTCTCGATTAAAATTGCAGATGTTGGTGGCTTCTCAAATGACAGGGACAGCATAACCTCAAAAAACTAAACATTGGATTTGAAAGCTGTTTGCCATTTGCCAAAGAAAAATATGGATGAATTAATCCACATCATCAGTCAAGAAAATAAAAATTAAAGGATAGCTGCATTATTACCACCAAGAGAAATTCAAGAAATTTCAAGCGGTAGGTACCTCTTTCTTTACCAACAGAGAATTCTTATCAATGACTTGATCCATATCATCATAATTATTCAATGCAAAGTTTTGTGTATAGGTTGTTGAGAAATATCAACCTACCTTGACTACTCCCCAATATATAATAGTATATTTTCTACTCACATAACTAATATGGCATTTAGCATACGAATATGTACCACGCTAAATAATCGATTAATCACGGATTGACGATCTGTGATTTATTCAAAATATTAAACACGTTACCATGGCAACACAGTTCATTAAACACAGCTTCAGTAATTTGAGCATGTCTGGCCTGTCAACTGTTATTTCCAAATTTTGTATCAGCATTATTCAAACAATATTCGTTTGTATCAGAAATCTTCATTGAAAATATATGCGAAATGTGGAAATATACTATTATGTAACAAGTGTTATAAACGTCCTTATAGTAACGAGTATTTTAAGCACGAGCGGAGCAGAGCGGATCAGAGCGGAGCGAGTGTTTAATAAACGAGTGTCTAGAAGAGTTTATAAACGCGTTACATACTATGCTTTTTCTATGAACTCCGAAAATTATATTAACATACCTGCTATTCCTGCTAACCTACAAAATAATTCGAAAGGAATGGGAATTGAGAACATAATACATGCAACTGCATGCAACCAGCGAGACACGTGTAAGTGGTATTGGTTGTAGATGTGTCTAGTCCATTGCTTACTAACCTTTGTTTTACGTTTATTACCATGCTTAGCGCAGAATAAATAAATTGTTCTCAAAGAGGGATGCTTCATTTTTACACTTCTTGGAGATATGCAAGTACCAGAACATTCTCTTCGATTTCACTTTCGTCTACATTCCGCATATATTTTTAATGGAGAACTCTGTTACAAACGAATATTGTTTGAATAATTCTGATACAAAATTTGAAAATAACAGTTGACAGTTAATACAATTGACAGGCCAGACAGGTCTCAAATTACTGAAGCTGTGTTTAATGAACTGTGTTGCCATGGTAATGTGTTTAAGAAATCAACAATCCGTTTTAGCATGGTATGCTGAATGCCATTTTAGTTATGTGAGTAGAAAAACAATATTTCATTGTTGGAACTATTAACAGAATTGCTAGAACTTCTGGAACTGGAGACATGGACTCCAATAACACTTTTAATACATAATTTTCCGTTTTACATTAGTTTTCCAAAATTCTGAGCATCTAATTATTGAAAACAACCTAAATCACCATCAAATCATGGAAAGAAAATAAATAATTGTTGATAGAAAATAAGCACCTATCATGGTTCTTGAAAGCTGTCAAAGCCGCCTGTTCACTTTGTTTCCATTGGTTCACATTTGTTTTTTGTTTGTGCTCATTGGTCACATCATCAAAACAAACCCCTCAGAAGTGTTCAAGTTGTTGCCGTCAGGTGGAGCAACGTGTTATTTTCTATGTGAATAGAACAGTTGTGAATGTTGTGATTGTCATGTAAAATAACTGCATCAGAGAGTGACATCACTTCCATCAATGGTGAAAATATGGGGTAAAAAAGAACATAACTAACTCCTGGCATAGATTGAAAGTAAGACATGTTTTCTGGTATAGTTTGTAATGTCATCACAACATCATCTAATGACCTTGGAGGCCATGATTAGCTATAATTTATAATGATTTTTGAAAAATATTTTAGCAAGCCCAACAGGACAAATAAACTGTTTACCAACTTAGTCTTGATCTTGTGGTCTAGAGGAACCCAAGTCTCATGAATTTGCTCCTTATTAATCAAAGTTTTCTCTTCAGCTGTTGCCTTTGCAATGCCATGTTCATATACATTTTTAGCTGCCTGTGTGGCACGCATTTGAGCATACTGTTTCTCTCTCTGGAAGGGATTTCCAGAACCAACTCCATCATAGTTGAGATACTGCCTATGTTGTGGAGCTGTATGCTGAAAAATTAAAATCAAGTCATTCTAGTCAATTGAACCACACTTGAGATATTTCCATGAGAATATGCATTATAGCAATAAAAAATCTTGATGTATGAAATACTAAGTTACTTTTATGTCAGGATGATCATCAACAATAACACCTTCCTCAACATCCCATCTCTCCTTTGATTTTTTATTGATCAATATTCTAAAGGCTTTATCAATCTACAAATGAAAAAAATCTAGTTCATAAACTTTGCACAAAAACTATATGTATTTCCTACTTCTTTGAATTTTTCATCACTAGCCTCTTCAGTCCCACTATCTGGATGAAATCTTTTCACTAGATTCAAATAGGCAGCTCGAATTTGTTCCTGATCACTTGTTTCCTGGATTCCTAGGATTTGGTAACATTTCTGGAAAATTAAAATGGGCCTAACCAATTTTCAATTGACTTTGAAAGGACTACCTACCTTGTAATCAATTTTCCTTGTGAATATTCCGAAATTGGCTACATGTCCTTTCAGACTATTATTAGATATTTTTATAAATAAATTGAAAGCCATTTTATATCATCTTGTTATGCATGGAAATATAATTTGTTTTTACTTGATAAGAAATCAAGTATCCACAAACAACTTCAACAACTGATAATCTTCTTGACCTAATAACTATTACCCATCTATTACCCTTCTATTATGTTTGTCTACTTTTGGAAGACTCATCAGAGTTTCTCAAAAATTAATGGCTATAGGCATAACACAAAGAAATTAGAACCTTGAAACATTGAGAATATTGAATATTGTTACAAATCATACTATTTCTAGCTATGTAGTTATTATTACCTTCCATTATACATTTGAACTTGAACAAATCTTTTGTAGCACCAACTACTTGCAACTTTGTTTTTGTAGTTTTACTAATTTTTGTTATTGTTATTCCTGTTATTGTGACAGCTATGACTTTCAATAACCTTGACCTATAACCAAACTCTTCTCTCGTGCTAGTCTTGTGGTGTGGCCGCTATCTTCTGGATCTTTAGTAGTTCTAATAAATTTGAGGACATCATCCTCTGAAACAAGAAGAAGATGATATGTCAAGACATGTAACCTAACTTTTTTATAAAAATTTAAATCAATTAAAACTATCAAAATCTTAACATTTTATAAACTCTAAACGATATGACAGCAATAGATCGTGTTAGAATATTAGTTCTAGGAGATTCAGGAGTAGGAAAAACATCTTTCGTGCATTTAGCTGCTCATAATGAACCCTTGAGATCCCCAAGTTGGACAGTAGGGTGCTCAGTGGAAGTGAAATTGCATGAATATAAAGAAGGCACCAAAGACCAGAAGACGTACTTCATAGAATTTTGGGATATAGGGGGTAGTCACATTCACAGGTAAGGAAAACTCTTGTAGCTATCAAATTATCAATTTGTTGATCTAAAATATCTCTCCTAGGAATTCTAGATCTGTCTTCTATTACCCATGCCATGGGGCGATTTTAGTCCATGATTTGACCAACCGTAAATCAGAGAAGAACCTACACAAGTGGGTAAGAGAAATAAGCAAGAGACAAAGAGAAAGAAAGGACTCAAACTCATATATGTATGTTCCTTACACCAGCAACTTGCTCTCAGAGGATTTTGACCAGGAGAGTTCATTTGGAAGTAGCTCTATTCCCTTTCTAGTAATAGGAACAAAATTAAATCAGGTGTGTAATTGATGTTTGAGGTGCCTAGATCAATTCTGAATCATATTGTATGGATATATTTTCTTGTATAGGTTGAAGATAGGAAATCTCACACTGGGCACATGGCTAGTCACTTGGGCTGTGATGAGATTGTCATGGATTGCCTTCAGACCAGATATTTAGCAGCTGGAACATCAAATGCAGTCAAGCTGTCTAGGTTTTATGATAAAGCCATTGAGATGAGGTCCAAATTGCATAAAGATTCTTTCACAGAGAGACTGAATGATCCAATTTCACCTATATTGTCTACAAAGTTTTATTCTCCCCATCAGGATTGATTATTTATTTTAAGTACACTTTTGTTGTAATTGTTTTATATAACATGCAAAAAATATTTTCATGTTTATATTGTTTTTCATAGGTACTAGATAATATCACTTATTTTATGTCTAGTCTTCTATTTATTTTTAACTAAAATGAATTCAAAATTAGATATTATTTATTTTTCACCCTCACTTAAAACAGTGATGGGAATGGGGCCCAATCAACATCACTTTGAAAAATCATAATCCTGATTTATAACAACCTTCAAAAATAAATTCCACAGTTGATTCCTGAATTTCGATTATTGAATTGAAATTGACACAATTGCAGCTTTTCTGTATACCTCTATTTCAGTTGAATAATAATATGAATTAAAATAATCACTTCCTGAATTTCCATTATTTGATCTGGATCAAAATCTAATTGTCCCTTTCTGAATTTCAATTGACTACTCTGAACTGAAATTGTCTTCTGAATTTTAATTGGCTAATATGAAATAAAATTGGCACTTTCTGGAAATCAATTGACTGGTCCGCGCTGAATTAAAATAATTGTTGCTTTTTGAATTACAATTGCAGCTTTATGATGTATACAGGTGTAATATTTGATTGATGGCTTAAAATAGAGAATATGGTCCCTTTATCAGCTAATTTCAAGAAGCACAGTTTATATGAACATATGCCCTAAACATCTCAATTCTCGAGGATATAGGGTGTTTTTTTTTTAAAATTGATTTCTTATCCTGACTTCAATACCATCCTAGATATTTTCATGAAATTTGACAAGAACCTACCGAGCACCATGTGCTAGTTTGTTTATTGGTAAGATGGGTCTGTCTAATTTTTATTCAATCGAATACCTAAGTCAATTGATTGAATTAGCCAAAGCGATTTTTATTTTTTTACATGAAAACGGTGCGTTGGACGAAAAAAATTCAAGGGGCCAAATTGTTGCTAAATAAATGATGAGGATTTCAAAAATGATTTTTATTTTCGGTGAAAGCAATAAGGGCCAAGGGCGTACCATATTTTTTCAGGAAAATCTCCAGTAAATATCCCGTACGGACGCCACTGGTAGAAATAATGTAAAATCTCCTGCATCGAAAAATGCCTATTTGGTGCTCAGTAGGCGCATGTCAAATTTCATACAATCATCTAGAACAGTATTGAAGTTATGATAAGAAGAAAACGAATATTTCCCAAACTTTTTAACACCCTAACTATAGACTATAGCTCGAAAGTTGAGCGGTTATGAACTCATTACAATGAGCTAAGAAGGAACCATACCCTATATATTTTTAGCCGTCAATTAAATTACACCCTGTATATTTCAGTTAACCCAGATATGCCAACCGTCCTTCTATAAGGACACTGCGAAAAAATTGTCCTACTGCCTAATTCGGGTACAGTTGCGTACATCAGTTTGTAGTTCGCGGTCATCCTCCTTGATACAGTTTTGCATCAAGAGCGCATATACGTTGATGACTGCTGAGCGCTCCTATCAATTGTGTATTGAAATTTGTTGCCGCTGTAGCACTTCTATGTCAATAATTTAATCGCCGGTAATGTGTATTAAGGCCGGCTGATGGCCGCCTGATGGACACCTCGACGCCGGGAAGGCATTATATTTTCGATAGTCGGCCGTCATATGCAGTTCTCAAGGAGATCGGTAATATCTGGGAAGTAACACGTGTCATAAAATTATCTCTGGGGAAAGCTGCATCCATGTGTAGATGAAATTCGTGAAAGAAAAAAGCACAGCAAATGTGAACATAGTTCAATTATAACTGATTTTTTTAATAGAAATAAAAATAAATTAATAACTTTTGAACTCTCAACATTGGATAACAACATATATATACGGTTAGTTTAATCGGATATATATGACCCCTCCTCTACCACCCCACGTCATTTGATCCATGCATGACCCTGTATAATCTTCGTTTTCATATATATAGCATATTTTTCTCTCTTTCATACATCAGTCATCTCCAATGACACCGTCCTATGGGGTGGTTCCATGGATTCCACTAGTTATTTTTGTACCAATATAAAAGGGAAAAAATGAGGAATTTGATGAGCTTATAGGATACATAGTGTTCCATTCAAAAAATCTTAAGTTTGAGTCGTTTCTTTCCAAAACCATACCCGAAAAAAAAAACTGAGTGCGCCATTGGATTCTGCGTAAAATTCTCTATGGGACAAGATTTTGATTTGACATATTCGCTGAGAAAATTCGTCGATAAAGAGGGGGTCCAAAAAGTATATATAAATTTTCAAAATCGCCCTGTGTATCTCATGAACGGAAACAGTTATGCGAAATCTGACTAGGCCATCTTGAGTTTCACAAAAAAGTAGCACAGGTTCTATATCTACAAAGATAACTAGGACATCAAGCATTGAAAACGGGACACACTGTACATCATCTTCAAATGGACCGAAATCGATAATAGCCGCCAGGCGCACAGACGCTCGGCACAGGCACTCAGCTGTCGAAACTCTTGTTTTCCTTTTCCCGGGGTGCCGGAGAAAAACGAGCCCCTGTTGAATTTTTGTGTCTTCTCGGCGATGAAAAGGCAAAATGTGAGAACGCTTTCATTGGTAGTATGCACTTTTACTTATCTACTGATAGGAGCTGCCGTTTTCGATGCGCTGGAATCTAAGGAAGAGGAGAGAAGAGATGGGTTGCTCAAAGGTACGAAATTTGGTATTTTTCCGCATTGTGTTAATGAGTACCTATAGTATAGGGTGGCCCATCAAAAACGTCAATTTTTGAGGGCATATAGGCCAATAAAGTACAAATTATTTTGTTCTCTATCAAGATGTTTTTGAACGCGAGGCTATATATATACATAAATTAAGATATTTTCGATTGGAACACTGTATTTCCACATATTTTGATTTGTTATCTATTCTTATTCTTCAATTCTTCCTCGGTGTTGTCAACTTGATTATAATTATTTCGAATATATGTTGGTTCCAATATGCCTGCTATATACAGTGTCATTCATAAAAAGTCGGCATCATATGGGAAAAACTTTTACTAATGACTTATTTTGAAATTCGAGTTGGACGTTAAGTTTTGCTTCAAACAAGATGAAAAATGGCCTACTCAATCGGGGTCACGTGACTTTCGCTACATGTCAAAAGTTATACATTTTTTCAAATTAATCGCTGAAAGTAGGCTTATTTGTTCGAATATCGAAAAAGTTTACTTGAAAAAGTTGTTTCTATTTCCATTTTACATATGTGACTCGGATTTTATCTTTCTATTACATTTTTTAGATTTCGATATTTTTTAAAAATTTTCGAATTTTCTGTAATATTAAAAAAATTGTAAATTCGATAAAACTACTTCATACCAGTAGCTTCATCATGCTACTCAATTTCAAATACTAATTATCACTAATTATCGACAAACATATGATTTTCTTCAGAAAATGATAATCTCCGCTTCAAAATTCTGTTATGTTTGATGCAAACATAACATCAAAATTATGTTATGTTTGAGTCAAGCATTTAGAAACGAAACTGATTTAAATTTATTTCTTCAGTACTGAAAAGATCAGTTCAAATGAATTTCGTTTCTAAATGCTTGACGATATATCAACTTTGCATCTAACATGACAGAATTTCGAAGCGGGTATTATCATGTTCTGAAGAAAATCATATTTCTGTCCATAATCAGTGATAATGAGTAATTGAAAGTGAATATCATGAAAAAGCTACTGGTATGAAGTAGTTTCGTGGAATTAACAATTCTTCAAATATTACAGAAATTTCGAAAAAAAAAAAAAAAAAATCAAAATCTAAGTTGCAATAGAAAGATCAAATTCGAGAAGCATGTGTAAAATTGAAATAGAGACAACTTTTTCAAGTAAACTTTTTCGATATTCGAACAAATAAGCCTACTTTCAGCGATTAATTTGAAAAAATGTCACTTTTGACATGTAGCGAAAGTCACGTGACCCCGATTGAGTAGGCCGTTTCTCATATTTTTTGAAGCAAAACTTAACGTCCAACTCGAATTCCAAAGAAAGTCATTAATAGAAGTGTTTCCCATATGATGCCGACTTTATGAATGACACTGTATACATAATCTTCGTTTTCAGAATTTTCACTTATAATATCACGAGAGCTTCAATTATTTGGTCTTCGACTCAGGAGAATTTTCGAAATATCCGTGTTCTCGAAAAAAAATTCCGGATATATTAATTGAAGCTAAAGTGGTATTCGGTAAGAAAATTTCACACTGAAATATTATTGAAAAAAAAATTGGATAATGACGTTTTTTGATAGTTATGTAAATTTCGAATTTGCAAGTATACCTACATAATATTATATTGCATGGCAAACTGTTGATGAATGATTTTTATTTATCGACTCATAGACATATACGTATTAATAATCAATACGGATAATCTCTATCTGTTTCCATAGCGAAACATGAAGCCGATTTTTTAAGACAAATGACTATCCATAAGGAAAAGTGAGATACGATCAGACACATACTGCTTTGATTGAAAGGCTAGTAAACGTCATTGTCCACCGAAACGCATATGTCTTTGATGACTATACGTATCATGCCACCAAATCCTTATGGATATTCATTTGTTTCATATTTTTGGCTTCATCCTGGCACCCGTTATGATCCGTATTGTTTATTAATACGTATATGCTCATAGACTGAACTCGAAATAATCTGAAGTTGAATGTAAATGTGATTTAATAACCTATAAACGTCAAAAAATTTCCAGTGTAATTTCATGCTCTGTCCTCCAAGGAGGAGGAAAAAATTTCCAAGAAATTTGTTTAGTTGCTATGGTAACGATACGAAATACAGGGTTCAAATTGATCGAAAATGTTTGGTGTTAAGTTTTCATCCGAATTTATGTGAAAACAGCATACGGATTCCATCAGTTATTTATGTACCAAATCTATGGTACCAATAATTGCGTGTTATATATAGATCCTAATGCCCAGAGGGTAACATATTCACCCGAGGGATCGATGAATGCTGCCCGATGGTTACACATATAGTGTCGTGATTACGTAGGAAACTGAAAAAGAGCGCCACTTCGCAATTTGTTATCAATGCGATTAGTGGGCGTTATGATTCATCAACCGTTGCCAAGGTATTATGAAGCAGTAATGGCCAAGGGAAAAATAAAAGAGATTTTATGCTTCAAAAAAAGGCTATAAGAATGTTATTAATAATAACTTTGTCGTCCTCTCTTCACAAAATTGGGCGCCATAATATGCAAACCCCGGCAAATCTATAGTTAATAATAGATATATGCTGATTCTCTCAACGGACGGATATTATTAGACAAAATTCAACTGTATCAATAAATACAGAAGGATTGCAACTCGAGTTGCAATTCTCATATCAATCTTTATTTCTTTATAATGTCCATAAAAATACACAGTCCATTATCTAACAAGCAACATCAATCTTTTATAACTGCCTAAGAAAATCGAAACAGTTTATATCCGAACATAAACCAAAAATGATGAGCTCCAAAAATAAATTCGGCTCGAAGGACCAATATATGTTCGACACTTGATAGATAGTGGACTGTATCAGTATGGATATGAGAATGATACAAGAACTAAGTAAATACTTTGAATTGACGCGACTACTTTTGTTCGCAGTGTCCTCGAACGCTTTGAAGATGAAGTACAACATCTCGGAGGAGGACTACCGCATGATCGAGCTGGGAATAATCGAGTACAAGCCGCACAACAACGCGTACTATACCGCTTATTTGCAGGAGGAGACATTTATTTTAGACTAACGAACGTGGTTTCATACGGCATTTGCTAATAATCTGTTTCATTCTAATTTTTCGGGTATTTCGATATGGCAGGTAAGGTTTCTTTTGCAAAATAGTAAAAAACTCATTGAAGAATATCATAGTAGAAAAAAAAAGGAAATTGCTCCGAATAATAGTTTTATTTATCGCCGCTAAGTTGGTGGTCTCGCGTTGTGGGCACAAGGCCACATGGTAACTTTGTAGTTAGATGATAAAACATTCTTATTTGGATAAGCTCCAAAAAATAATACGGCTCGAAGGACCAATATATGTTCGAAACTTGATAGATAGTGGACTGTATTTGTATGGATATAAGAATGATACAAGCACTAAGCAAATACTTTGGATTGACACGACTACTTTTGTTCGCAGTGTCCTCGAACGCTTTGAAGAGGAAGTACAACATCTCGGAGGAGGACTACCGCATGATCGAGCTGGTGATAATCGAATACAAGCCGCACAAGGCGGGGCCGCAATGGAAGTTCGCGGGGGCCTTCTACTTCGCCACCGTCGTGCTGGCCATGATCGGCTATGGGCACTCCACACCCGTCACCTCGGGCGGCAAGGCCTTCTGCATCGGATATGCTGTGGTAACGTTGAACATACAGGGTAGCTATTTGAAAACGAAACAGAGCGCTGTAGGTCACTATAAATTCTCGAGGGGGGCATCGTTCTAAAATATTTTCAGCGCTGCGTCGTAGCAACAACTTTGTTATTTCAAATGGAATGCCCTGTAATTCACTGCATTTTTAGATTTTTTTTTAAGAGCTTTTATGCGAGAATTATTACAGAGATATACAGTGTGCCCCACTTACCATGCTCACCATGGGTATCTTTTTAACGGTGAGAGATACGAGGTCGGTTAAATGACACCAAATGTGGAGTTTGTCAAGGCCAACTATGTAAAAAATTATTTTGATAAAATCTATTCGTTTTTGTTTTATACGCAAAAAACAGATTTTGATCATTTTCATGTCTCCTCCGTAACTTCTTTATTTATGAAAATATTCAAATAGGAAATTCACATTCTCATGGCAGTTTTTCAAAGTGATTTCGAAAAAAATATTAAATTTATACCAACTCTCCTAGAATTTGAGATATTAGCACCAACTTTAGTTTTTCGAATGTAGGTCATAGCTCACTATGACTTAGTTACAAATAACTTTTTTTTCTCTTACAGATGATATGTCGCAGTAATAGTTTTGTGGTGATAACAATGGAGTTATCGTCATTTATACAAAAACAGAAAATTATTTGGAAGCCGCCATCTTGAATTTATGAATTTTAACAAAAAAATCATGATCTCCGACCTCAAAAACCCCCACTTATCAATTTTGAATGGAATCGGACCAAATCTTGCCCGCCATCTTGGAGCAGCCATTTTTTTTAATTTTCACAAAAATTCCATGACTCCGATTAACTTGAAATTTGGCAGGTGTTCATAATTTCGGTGACAATACATTATGGAATTTTTGTTGAAATTAAAAAAAAAGGCTGCTCCAAGATGGCGGACAAGATTTGGTCCGATTCCATTCAAAATGGGTAAGTGGAGGTTTTTGAGGTCGGAGATCAAGATTTTTTGTTAAAATTTATAAATTCAAGATGGCGGCTTCCAAATAATTTTTTGTTTTTGTTTAAATGACGATAACTCCGTTGTTATCAACACAAAACTATTACTGCGACATATCATCTGTAAGAGAAAAAAAAGTTATTTGTAACTAAGTCATAGTCAGCTATGACCTACATTTGAAAAACTAAAGTTGGTGCTGATATCTCAAATTCTAGAAGAGTTGGTATAAATTTAATATTTTTTTCGAAATCACTTTGAAAAACTGCCATAAGAATGTGAAATTCCTATTTGAATATTTTCATAAATAAAGAAGTTATGGAGGAGACATGAAAATGATCAAAATCTGTTTTTTGCGTATAAAACAAAAACTAATAGATTTTATCAAATTTTTTTTTCACATTATAGTTGTCCTTGACAAACTCCACATTTGGTGTCATTCAACCGACCTCGTATCTCCCACCGTTGAAAAGATACCCATGGTGAGCATGGTAAGTGGGACATACTGTATATATCAAGGGAGCAAACGGATCCATTACCCCCCGAGTGTGAATCAAGGCGTTAAACACACATGGAAGGAAATTAACCTTAGCTCCCAAGATATATGATTTTATCCACATGAGAACGTCGGTCTTGAAATATTGTGCTTCAGGCGGTCTATCTCTCGAGTCTCGATTCAAATCAATGTGTTTAAGAAGTGTAGTATTCCATGGACAATTGACAGTATTTGAATCTGAGTGGAAATAAATTTGCCACTTCTGTCATATTGAATATGTTTCTTGTGCAATTGCATTTTGAAGTTTCAATTGAGTAAGTTTGGAATATGAGGAAGTGTATATTGAGATCATTGGAGTACAAAAAAAAATTGTTATTTGATATTTGAGACTCTAATTATGTACTTGGGTAGCACATATTTTATACGTATATCTCTATCAAGAAGGCCAGCTGAAGCCAATTTCCTCCCACGGGAGGTAACTTTTTTTGTCTCGTGGAAGTAAATTGACAGGTTTGTGTCCTTGAATAAGGGAGCAAACGGTTACTTTCAATGCAGTGAGTAGATAATAGCTATTTATATATAAAGGGAGCAAAGTTATTCATTTCTTCCCGCGTGTGAATTTTGATGCCTGACGTGTAGCGGAGAGCATTTAACACACATGGGAGGAGATGAACCTTTGCTCCCAATATTTTATCCACAAACGCATATACCTATTATTTTAGAGCGTCGTTCTTAAAATTGTGCTTCAAGCGGTCTATCTGTCGAGTCTCGATCCAAATCAATGCATGATCTAAGGTTTCAGACAGTTTTTGAATCTGGACAAAAATCAATTGGACACTTCCCAGCGAGCACAAAAACATCTCAGAGATGTTAAAAGTACGAGATTTCGAGACATTGAACCTCCACTGCGATGTTCTGTTCACACATGAATAGAACTATTATAGAACAGCCAATGTCCGCCGCAGGCGGCAATTATCGAGATGCCCTTGATATGTCACAAAACTACCTTCTCCCTAGTTCTTTTTGAAGCCTTTTCATGGACACAACAAAACATTTTCAACGCGTCTTGCGCACATTAAATCGCTGTAAAAAAACCATTTTCGAGGTACTTTTCTGGAGCCTTTTGTCAAAATGAACTTTTGCATTAGGATTCCATTTCCCTTGAATGAAAAAATGCATTAAAAATAGATTGAACATAAAAATATGCTCTTGATATGAAATTACCTTCTTAATCGGTTTCTGAGTAGTGCTTACTCTACACACAGACATATAATTGGAAATAGGTTTCCCAATTTTTGAAATCTTCTCCACAATGCATAATTTTGCAACTGCGGAGAAGCTGTGTATTGATAAATTCGTACTTTTATATATTGATTACACTGAGGCACCGAACAACACATCTTGCATCTGATGGTCATTATTACAAACTAAATAAGTCTTCTAACACAATAAACTTCACCAAATTCCTTTCAGTTCGTTAGCAGCGTGATGTAAGCGTGACACGCTGCAAACGCGAATGCCAATTGCGAACAAGAAGAACAAAATCGAAAACAAATCAGAATTCATCGTATTGTGACGTAAGCATGAGACGTTTGTGGTAGGGCAAACAAAGAAAGGGCACAAAAGAACAAAAACAATACTTTCGATATCCTTCTAAGACCTCTTTGGGAAGTGCATATTACGCCTCAAAAAACATCCTAATGCCTACATTTCTAAAACATCCCAAAACATCCCAGTGATACCTCTCAGTAGGCAAACAAAGAAATGCCACAGAAGAACAAAAACAATACTTCAATATCCTTCAAAGACCTCTTTGGTCAGTGCATATTACGTCTCAAAATAACATCTTCATGCCAACATTCCCAAAACATCCCAGGGATGTTTGTGCTCGCTGGGCTCTGTCACATTGAATTTGTTCATTGTGAAAATTGCATTTTATTTAAAGTTTCGACTGAGTTAGATTGGAATATGAGGAAGTATTATGAGAGCAATGAAATTGTTATTTGCTTTCTAATAGTGATGGAGACACTTGGATAGCACTCACCATATACGTATATCTCCGCCAAGGAAGCAAACTAAAGCCTAAAGCCTAAAGCCTTCCAAACGGAAGGTACTATTTTTTTTCTATCGTAGGAGTAAATTGACAGGTTCGTGTCCTGAAAGCAATCGCTTACTTCCGATGCAGTGAGTAGATAAAACCATATAATGAAAAAAAACTTCCGTCATTATGGTAAATTTGTTCCTATCACGATAACAGCCGACCGTTAACATGGTCAAAACATATTGAAATACTTAGGAAAAAAATATCCCCAATAATAGGTATACTTTTTAGGGTACGGAACCAAGTTCCTATAAAATGTCTCAAATCTATATACTTCTCTTTGATCTATTCTAAACTTGAATATTTGATTTCTGTATGGGGTTCAACAAAACTATCAATTATAAAGCCTCTCAAAACTCTTCAAAATAAAATTATCAAATGTTTATACAGACTAAATTATTCGGAACCTACTATGAACCTTTACAGAAGAAGAAAATTATTAGATATAGATTCACTATATAAATTCAAATTAATGTCGTTCATTCATTCAGTTAAACATTGTCAAAAGCATTCAAATTTGGTTTTCCAAGTCAATAGTAATCACCACAACCATACAACCAGACAAGCAGATCATTTTTCTGTCAAGAAAATCAAATCAGATATTGGTAAAAAATCCATCTATCACAATGGAATGATACAATACAATTCACTACCAAATAACTTGAAGGTGATTAATAGGATTGAAAAATTTAAAAGAGAATTCAAGAAACATCTACTCCTGTAATATTGACATCTTATCTCATTTTTATAGTTTTCTTGTACAACTACTATAGTTTTCAATTGTGTACCTAACAGCTGAGTCAATTGAGGATCATATTCATTTGAACTTGAAAAAAAAGATTCTTTTTGAGTGTGAGTCTTATTTTACTGTCTTCTTTATTTTATTTTGTCAAATATATTTATGTATTCACTATGTTCCCTGCTATAAACAAATGTTGTTTCTTGGGAAAAATAAAGTTGATTGATTGATTGATTTTAACTGCACGACCACTCTCGGAATGATAAAAAAGCCTCATCTTTGAGAACACTCTTCAAACATTAGATCTTTGGTATTTACTAATCAGCTTCCAACTCGCTCTCATCCGCAGGTGGGCATCCCCCTGGGCCTGGTGATGTTCCAGAGCATCGGCGAGCGCCTCAACAAGTTCGCCTCCATCGTCATCAGGCAGATCAAGAAGCAGCTGAGCTGCCAGAAAGTCGAGGCCACCGAGATGAACCTCATGTTCGCCACCGGCATGCTGTCGTCCATCATCATCACGACAGGGGCAGCGGTTTTTTCTCGGTACGAGGGCTGGACGTACTTCGACAGCTTCTACTACTGCTTCGTCACGCTGACTACGATCGGCTTCGGGGACTATGTGGCTCTACAGGTTTCAAACATTTTTTCTTGGCAACTCTTATGACGACGATAAGAACTACGAAATTACCCTTCCTCGATAAAAACACTGCCGTTATCAATTTTTCAATATCCATTTCTTTTTCCTTATTTATACACCAATTTGTATGCATTCCTGCGTCGACTGTTCATTGTCCACTGTCAATAAATAGCAAATAAATGATGACTTTTCGACACACTTCAACTCCCTCGTGCTTTTTATTTTTTTGCTTTGCTAGTATCGCTAGTTTCGCAGCTTCAACATATTATCTTGCCTTATCCTTGATTATTAACACTCCATCTCCATGTGAAATGTTGCAGCCAGCGCTCAAGAAATTCAGCAAAATGTGGCCGATTTATCTAGGCTCTCGGAATCTGCTGGAGTCCATCTATCTGCAATTTTCCCTTGTAATTTTTGATTTCAAACATTTTTTCTTGTCGACTCTTATGACGACGATGAGAACTACGAAATTACCCTTCCTCGATAAAAAACACTGCCGTTATAAATTTTTCAATATCTATTTCTTTTTCCTTATTTACACACTAATTTGCCTGCATACCTGCGTCGACTGTTCATTGTCCAGTGTCAATGAATAGCAAATAAATGGTGACTTTTCGACACACTTCAACTCCCTCGTGCTTTTTATTTTTTTGCTTTGCTAGTATCACTAGTTTCGCAGCTTCAACGTATTTTCTTGCCTTACCCTTGATTATTAACACTCCATCTCCATGTGAAATGTTGCAGCCAAATTTGGTCATACTTTTTGGCTGGTTCGTATAGGCAGTGCTCAAGAAATTCAGCAAAATATGGCCGATTTGTCTAAGCTCTCTGAATCTGCTGGAGTCCATCTATCTGCAGTTTTTCCTTGTAATTTTTGCTTTCAATCACTTTTTCTTGTCCACTCTTATGACGACGATGAGAACTACGAAATTACCCTTCCTCGATAAAAAACACTGCCGTTATCAATTTTTCAATATCTATTTATTTTTCCTTATTTACACACTAATTTGCCTGCATACCTGCATCGACTGTTCATTGTCCAGTGTCAATGAATAGCAAATAAATGATGACTTTTCGACACACTTCAACTCTCTCGTGCTTTTTATTTTTTTGCTTTGCTAGTATCACTAGTTTCGCAGCTTCAACGTATTTTCTTGCCTTACCCTTGATTATTAACACTCCATCTCCATGTGAAATGTTGCAGCCAAATTTGGTCATACTTTTTGGCTGGTTCGTATAGGCAGTGCTCAAGAAATTCAGAAAAATATGGCCGATTTGTCTAAGCTCTCGGAATCTGCTGGAGTCCATCTATCTGCAGTTTTCCCTTGTAATTTTTGCTTTCAAACATTTTTTCTTGTCCACTCTTATGACGACGATGAGAACTACGAAATTACCCTTCCTCGATAAAAAACACTGCCGTTATCAATTTTTCAATATCTATTTCTTTTTCCTTATTTACACACTAATTTGCCTGCATACCTGCGTCGACTGTTCATTGTCCAGTGTCAATGAATATAGCAAATATATAAATGATGACTTTTCGACACACTTCAACTCCCTCGTGCTTTTTATTTTTTTGCTTTGCTAGTATCGCTAGTTTCGCAGCTTCAACATATTATCTTGCCTTATCCTTGATTATTAACACTCCATCTCCATGTGAAATGTTGCAGCCAAATTTGGTCATACTTTTTGGCTGGTTCGTATAGGCAGTGCTCAAGAAATTCAGCAAAATATGGCCGATTTGTCTAAGCTCTCTGAATCTGCTGGAGTCCATCTATCTGCAGTTTTTCCTTGTAATTTTTGCTTTCAATCACTTTTTCTTGTCCACTCTTATGACGACGATGAGAACTACGAAATTACCCTTCCTCGATAAAAAACACTGCCGTTATCAATTTTTCAATATCTATTTATTTTTCCTTATTTACACACTAATTTGCCTGCATACCTGCGTCGACTGTTCATTGTCCAGTGTCAATGAATAGCAAATAAATGATGACTTTTCGACACACTTCAACTCCCTCGTGCTTTTTATTTTTTTGCTTTGCTAGTATGGCTACTTTCGCAGCTTCAACGTATTATCTTGCCTTATCCTTGATCATTAACACGCCATCTTTTTTTTATCGCTTGGAGCGCACGAAAGGGAATCCCTATAATGTTCAAAGAACATCGTGCGTTCCTAGGGAGGATAGGGATAGGAGGTAGGTATTGGAATTTTTTGAACTTCTGGAGATTATATGTTGTTGGAAATACTCCCTCAGGCAATGAATTCCAGAGCCTAGCAAAATATGGCCGATTTTTCTAGGTTTTCCGAATCTGCTGGTGTCCATCTATCTGACAGTTGTCGAACTATCAAGGTATATCCTTCTTTCTGAAGCAGAAAAATCACTAGCCTTGATATTCTTACTTTGAAATATGTAGGTAATTAAAATATTTGAATCCGACCTTCCTTCTTGCCAAAAACATCTAAAAATAAAGTTCGAATATTTTCTGCATTACCGAACTCTACCCTTCGCTACTCCATAAGAAGTAGTTCAACTTGTCGCTCATAGATACCGCCACCTCTACAAAATTGAATTTCTGGCTTCATTGCTCTCAGAAGCTTGGTTCATATAAGGCCTGTTAGTTTGTAATGCTGAACTTGCTATAGTTGATTTTTTCCCATAGTTGTCTCTGTTCATGGCATGATGTAAACAGAGAAAGTCATAGAAAAAAATCAAGTTCAGCAGGCCTATTGTTATTATAAAGCATCCTTATTTATACACCAATTTGTCTGCATACCTGCGTCGACTGTTCATTGTTCACTGTCAATGAATAGCAAATGAATAAAAACTTTTTGACACACTTTCACTCCGACTAATAAACCTGCAATCAAACTCACGTTTCTTATTTCGTTGTTTCGCTAGTATCATCGCTTTTGTCATGTATTCAGCTCCAACTCATCGGCCTTACTCAACAAATATTTCAAGAATCCCCATTTGATCCTAGGAATGTTTTCATTTATGTAAGAAAATGAACTTGTTTGTTTTCAGAATGACAATGCTCTGATTGAAAGACCAGGATACGTGGCACTGAGTTTGGTTTTCATACTCTTTGGTCTAGCAGTGGTGGCTGCCAGTATAAACCTACTAGTACTCAGATTTATGACAATGTAAGTAGTTGAATGCTCTAAATGTTTCACAGAGAATTTGTTTGTCTTCACGTATATTCTGAACTCCCACTCAACTTTTTTACGTATTGTTCAATTTTTTTTTCAAGGACAGTTCTTTCACATTTTTTTCCGTAGATTGTATATATGCCAACAGAATTGAAGTTGAAAATATAAAAAAATACTTATGGATACCCTGTATTTAATTGCGTTTACAGATTCTCCCTAAAGAGCTGATTTCATAGATCTATCACACTTGAAGTCTAGCTGAAATGATTACAGAGATATTGGGAGGTGAAAAATTGAGATTTTTTTCAACTTTAGGAATTTTTTGTGTCGAAACTATTCCTTGTTGACCAACACGGTTTTCATGTCCCTATCTTAACTTTTGATTACAGGGTGGTGAAAACTTCAGAATTCTGATGACCCTGTATTTGTAAGATAGGGACATGAAAACCGATTGAACGATAATGAATAGTTTCGACACAAAAAAATCCTAAAGTTGTAAAATCTCTATATTTCACACCTCATATATCTGTAATCATTTCGACCCGAAGTGTGATAGATCGATAAAATCAGCTCTTCAGGGAGAATCTGAAAATGCATTAAAATACAGGGTCTCCTATTCAAAAATGTATAAATGTCACCCATTAGTATTTTTTTAGATCCTCAACTGTTTTTCTGTTGGCATACTATATAAAATCTACAGAAAAATATGAAAAAAAGTTCCTTGAGAAATTAATTGAACAATAGATAAAAAAGATGGGTGGGGGTTAAAAATATACGTGAAGACCCTGATTGAATAAGCCATACATTTCAAGATATGAGGTAGTTCCAGGTAGGGCAGCTCCCCCTCCTCCTCTATTATGTGTGCTCCTAGGTTCCTTATTCCAAGCAACAACATAACCTCAAACAATGTTTCGTTGGTATTTGGGCGATTTGAGCCAGAAGTCACATGAATCCTGTCAGATTATGATCACAATTCAATAAACACGAACACTATCACAAAATATAAGATGGACATGGGGTATGCTTGTTCGAAGCTCGGCTACACGTCGAACACTAATGAACCAGCATTTGCACATGTCTGTGATAGCCGGCCCATGAAATAAGCACATTCCACTGAGCAGTAGCGTATCTTATTGCTAGACGCCAACAAATCATCTACTCATCAACTTACTTGCAGGAATGCTGAAGAGATCCGCCGCGAAGACCAAGACCTCCAGTCCTCCTCCCACCACGTCCTTACTCTCGACGGTGACGTCATGGCGGTGAACGGCAAGCTGATGACAGGTCAACACGGGCTCATAGGTGAGTGTGAATTTTTGTAGTTTTCAGTAACTTCTGATGAAAGGTAGACAAGGAGAAAGGAAATGGTCCAAATTGATCAACTATACAGGGTGTTCTCAAAGGTGAAGTATTTTTTTTTCAAGTATGCAGAATTCATTGAAATAGACAAATCCACCAGATATCGCCCCAATAAAAGTTGCATAATAACAGATTTTATCATTAAAAAGGGATACTCTAAGCTATAATTATGAACATCAAAACATGGATATATTTGTAAAGAAATACATTGAGAATTCGCATGTGATGAAAACATGAATTCTTTCTCGGTTTATTCAACAGAAAACAACTACTTTCCTGGCTGTTTGCCACGTAGATCATTGAATTATGTCAGTTGAACACCCAAAAAGAGAGCATGAAAAATGAAAATCTTCTGAAATTGAGAATTGGATATAACAATATGATGTATTATGATATGAAAATATAACTTACCAATATGTTTAGTATTGAAATGAAAATTGAAATGTATAGGAGAAGTATACTTGTATAAACTCTGATCTTGATGACCTCGGAACTTCCAAAAAAATCAATCTTATCAGTGATATGGGAATTATATCTCTTATTACAGTTAGGTTATATGACTTCACTCGTATAAACTCATTTCGGATATCAAATTCTCATCAGTAACCCGAAGTCCAGTTATCCATAACTCCGATTAACTTGAAATTTGACAGATGTTCATAGTTTCGGTGATAATACATTATGGAATTTTTGTTGAAATTAAAAAAAATGGCTGCTCCAAGATGGCGGACAAGATTTGGTCCGATTCCATTCAAAATTGGTAAGTGGGGGTTTTTGAGGTCGGAGATCATGATTTTTTGGTTAAAATTCATAAATTCAAGATGGCGGCTTCCGAATAATTTTTTGTTCTTGTATAAATGACGATAACTCCGTTGGTATCAACACAAAACTATTACTGCGACATATCATCTGGAAGAGAAAAAAGAGTTATTTGTAACAAAGTCATAGTGAGCTATGACCTACATTTGAAAAACTAAAGTTGGTGCTGATATCTCAAATTCTAAAAGAGTTGGTATAAATTTCATATTTTTTTCGAAATCACTTTGAAAAACTGCTATGAGAATGTGAAATGTCTATTTGAATATTTTCATAAATAAAGAAGTTACGGAGGAGACATGAAAATGATCAAAATCTGTTTTTTGCGTATAAAACAAAAACGAATAGATTTTATCAAAATTTTTTTTCACATTATAGTTGGCCTTGAAAAACTCCACATTTGGTGTCATTTAACCGACCTCGTATCTCTCACCGTTTAAAAGATACCCATGGTGAGCATGGTAAGTGGGACACACTGTATTTTCATGTAGGTGAAAGTTGTTTTCAAGATTTTTGAACTTACTGAAGTCATGACACCCACAAACTAATCTTATGATTTCAGTGGGCTTGTCGACTTCTTATTTTCAAAATGTCTTTAATCTCTTCAAATTTAATTTTGTATGATATTATTTGGAAATAAATTATTATTATTATTATATTATTAATGTTTGGGCTGGGCATATCGATGGCATGCTCATTGCGTCTTCCTTTTTTCCGCAATTTGCCCGAATTACTTTAAAATCTAACTTTGACTGAGACAAGCAATGTGGTACTCCTACACATTTCAGACGAGAAGTTCGTGAACGTGTTTCCCAAAGTTGTTCGTGGTTAAAGAGATATAATTTTTGCTGCATGTAGTGACTCACCTTCGAGAATACCCTGCATAGTATGACATCAATATGGCGGCCCGATGGTCGAGAGCGCATAGTCAAACTTGATTTTTCGATTATGAGCATTGACAACAATTCCACAACTAGTAGCATCGAATTTTTCAACTCCAAAACTTTTTCAATTAGGCTGAAGATAGTCTTTTATAAGACCGAAACATTTCCCTTATCTTATGATTGTGTAACAACATCTTTAAAATTTGTGTAGATAACTTCGAGCATCCCTTTCTTCCTTAGAAATAAGACATATTCTGCTCTTTGTCTTTTCAATTTTCCTAATAGTGCCTGATACGTGATATTTATAGGAGAGATCGACCAGACGTCGGTATGTTCATGCAACTGCCTGGGGCTGGGCCACGCGGGCGAGAACGAAGAGCTCCTTCTAGACGGTGGCGGCAATTACCACTACCACCCCTCGCACCCCGAGGTCAAGGTCAAGAGGGCGTCGGTGTGATGGCGCCGCTGGAGCGACTACTCCAAAGACGACGACATCGGCTGAGATGGATCGAATCAGTTAGAGCAGTTCGACATGTGTGTCTGGTCTTCCCCTTGTGACCCCATCTACAAGGTTCCAACGTAAAATAATAGAAAGTTTCATTTTGGTAAAGCAGAAACTTAGAAGGTTGTACTGTATTCTGCGACCTAAAAGATCTATCGTGCCCCCTTTTTTTGGTATATCCGATGAGGTTGTTCTCCGTAGCTAAATCAATGTCACTAGTCCCATATCTCTCAGGTGTTGATAGATATTTCCTCCTCTTCCCTACAGAACCTGTATTCACATTATGTTCATAGACGCGTTTCCGGCAGTGCCCTGTTAGGACTTCCGTTAGTATATGAGGTTTATTCTTGCCTAGGCTGACATATATGCGTTCTATTTTTTGTGGTTAGATGTACCCAGTAGTTAGCCTGTCTGAAACTTTGAAGATTTCACCTGATGTCCAATCTCTGTCTCTTTTATAATGTCTTTTGATACAGCACTGTTTTACTGATGCCGCAGAAGAGTTCTGGCCCCTCGAAGGGTGTTGTACGCTACTTCATTTCCCTCAACTCCGGAATGTCCTGGAACACATAGAAGGGTAAGTGTATTTCTGTGGGCTAGCTCGTTCGGTCTCTCCTGATATTTCCAAACCATTTTAGAGTTGATAACCACATAGATCAGTGCTTTAATGGCTGCTTGACTATCGGAGATGATGAAGATATCCCATCTTTCATAGATTTTTTTTCTAGTCCTTGGTACGAGGCCGCTATACTCCTATATCAGTTCCATATTTGGTTTTGGAGCCATCTGCCAAGTGGAAACAAATCCAGTACCTATACATTCTCCCCCTATCTTTTCCAAGTACGCACAATGTTCCGTGAACATAATAGGGATGCCCTTTAGTGGGATCAGAAAAATGCGAAAAATGGTCTTCTAGTTCTTTCATTATTTTACCAGGAACTTTTTTCAATATTTTATCTACGAATTAAATATTGTAAAGTTTCGGAGCATCGGCTGGGGATAGTCCTGCACGATTCGCTGTTGCGTTCCAATTAACAGTGCTGCACCTAAAGTGGCGCATGGAGTTAGTAACAAAGCCTACACAGAACACGCAGAAAGATATGATGATGTGGTTGTGAGCATCAGAGAAGAAGTAGGACGGTGTATGTAGGTGGGTGTGGAAAAACTACCAGCTGAGCGTGAGAGCAGGCCAGCTGCTTAAGTAGACCTCGGTCTCGGGGGTTAACGAGGATAGTTAGCAGGCCTGCCACTGCGCATATGGTAGTGAGTGAAACACAGCTGAAAAACTCTGAAAAGAGAGCTGATTGGCGGTGCCTGAAAAGGATGTTAGCCAGCTCTCTTGAGCGAACCACATCAGCCATTGAAAACACTTGGGGTTGGCAAAAAGGTTCCATTAGGGACTAGTTGCTGACGTGGAAACGTCACCCACCAGTACCAGTACCAGTTCATTATTTTACCTTGATTTCCATGACAGTCTAAAGTCTGAGACTTCTAAAACCTTCAACATTTGACTGATTTGATAATTATTGGTAATAATAAGATATAGTATCTTAATCTTTTTACTCAATTTATGATCATTGATGAAGATTAGTAGATTTACCAATGCAGACCTGAAAATCCTCATTCCATATGAATTATCTGTGTTCTCTAGTTGATTTTGAACTTTTTTTCTTTAAAAGGTGTATTAGCTATCATATTCTCTACCTACAGAATTGAAATGGATGAATATTATTATAATTGATTACATTCTACCTGAAAAGGATGAAACATTTTGTGTATTGTTAAAACTCTTTGTCAAAGGAGGTATTCCCAAGAACTTAAAATCTCAAAAGTTAAAAATGAACCCTGACGAGGTACGCACAATGTTCTCCAAACATTATAGGGATTCTCTTTCGTGCATCCAAGATACTCCTGTCAATGTCAAGTGTCCCTTGTCGATTGTATTGTTATTTTTCACTATCATTTAAAGTTGATTTTAGAAAAGAAAGGTCCAAGAAGCTGGATTTATTTTTATTTACAACAAATGAACAGTCCACCAGTGTTCAATCCAATGGAAATTAATCAGTTTTTTAAAGTGGCACCGATTTCATTCACATTTGACTTGTAGGCAACCTCACAACATGAAATGTCACATTATTTCAAACATGGTGTTTGGTAGAACAGAATAATTTTAATTATATGGTAAACATTTTTCCATATGTATAATGTAGAATTCCTTAATGGATTTGACGTTTTTGTAACGGCCATTCAGACAAGCATGGGCAGTTGACATAGCCACATATTTTGGTAAATAAAAAAGCCATCAACATATCTGAAAGTGTTTAAAATTGATAACGAATTCGTAACAATAATAAATGCAAAGTTTGCAGTTTCAAACTGTAAGGACCGGTTGCATAAATCTCTCTGTTAACTTAACGAGGAATCAACTCTTTCAACTCATCAGCTAAGGAATACGTTGCCATGGATATAAACAAATGCTTCATACGACCAGCCCTAAGAATGCTGCCAAATTTCGATCAAAATATGAAAGAAATTTGCGAGGTAGGTATATAATTTTTTTTCGAACATCAATTTAGAACAAAGTGGGAGGAGAAATTATTGCCGAAAATGAAATTCATGTTAATGGGAATTCAGAATTTCAAGATTTTGTTGTGAAAGAAAGTGAAGAATTCAGGAAACGAATAGGAGAAAAAGATAGGGAATCGAACAAAAATATTTATTTACCGAAATTGGAGCAAAATTCACACCTATTACCTCAAAGTGATTCTAAAGTTGGAACTGAATCAAGAAATATAAGGCTGTACTCTTCTCTGAATATGTAGTGGAAGGAAGATACAAACATCATTAATCTGAGCAAAACACATATTCTTAAACTTCTGATCTGCTTGTCAAGTGTCCGTACTGTAGAATTTAGTGGTCAGAAAAAAAGATCGAATCAACTGAAGAACTCTAGAACAATGAAATAGAGTATGGTACAGGTGATTCAAAAAAACTGTAATGAAATTTAGTAGTGAAGTGGGTAAATATCGAGACAAAATCGTTGGTAGCTAGCAGAGCGAACTCAAAATATGAAGTTGACAACCATCAACTCAAACAATGTCATTTGTACTTTTATTATCATTAAACGTTATTATAAAAATCGTAAAGCTGTTTGATTACATCACCGTTGAATCCAGTCAAAACGGGCCTGCCGACTTGGTACGAGCAGCTGTCGTATCGGTACTGCTTGGACGTCTGGTACCTCATGTTCTTGTTGATTGATTGAGTATTGAGTCAAAATTGTTGGTAGCTAGCAGAGCGAACTCAAAACATGATTAAGTTGACACCCACTAATTCAAACGATGTCATTTGTACTTTTATTATCATTAAACGTTATAATAAAGACCGTAAAGCTGTTTGATTCTTACTGATAACGGAGTAACTTGCTTTGGATATGCGGAAGACATAGTCATCATGGCCAAAGGCAAATTTGAAGGGACCCTCTGCGACCTCATAGAGAGAGAGAGCTAGAGGTGGTGGCCAGGTAGCCGTGCGGACAGAGTGTCTATATTCTAATTCGCATTCGCTTGCCGGTCGTGGGTTCGATCCCCGTCGACTGCAGAAATTTTTCTGATGGCCCAAGAAAGTGTTTGGGATCACACGTTAAAAGGTAAGGCCCCTGTCATTCCTTGCTCGCACAAGACTTTCGAAGACTTTTGAGGGTTGCTCGTAAGGGGGCAACCGAATGACGGATAGAACAAATTTTAGAACACATTTTTTTTTAAATTTTTAAAATTTTTAGAGACTACCAGAAGATGATGCCGGTGGGGTTGAGAATTAACTCAACGAAAACCACATTGGTACCTTTCACTAGAAGAACAAAGGTTCAGCACTTGAGGTTCGTCCGTCTAGATGGAGCAGACCGACAATGGCAGCAAGAAGTGAAGTATCTAGGGCTCATCCTACACTCAAAGCTTCTCTGCAACATACACGTAGAAAAGATCGTCAGTAAGACAAAATCATCACTGATGGTGTGCAGGAACCTTGCAAAACGTGGGGGTGTAACCCATCAATACTGCAATGGATGTACACCATGCTAGTGAGACCTATGATTACCTACGGAGCAGTAGTGTGGCATGGCAGAACCGAACTCGCCATTACAAGGAAAATATTAGAGATGTGCAAAGATTAGCATGTCTTTGCATTACAGGAGCAATGAGATCAGCTACAACAGCAGCACTAGAGGTCTTTCACACTTCTACACATCGTGGTGAGGTGCCTATAGAGCACATCTCAGGTTGGCCAAGGTCGGACTAAGAGGGAAAACGCATAGTGCAAGGGGCTCACCCCCACTGAGATTGTACACCTCGCCGATCTTCCAACAGACCAAATCATTAAGAAGTTCAGTTTTGAGTTCCGAGTGGAACTGAGCAACAAGCGCGAATGGAGCATAGAATCCATCGAAGCGCTATGAAGGAACACCATTACTTGGTATACGGACGGGATTAAAACACCCGAGGGAACTGGAGCAGGAGTCTTTGGGCTTCGCACCAAATACTACGAATCAATGGGACAATTTCCCAGCATTTTTTAAGCGGAAATACACGCCACAGAAAGATGCATCCAGACAGGAAATACCGGAAGAAGGATATCGCGATTTTATCCGATAGCCAAGCAGCCATCAAAGCGTTGAGCTCTTCTGACATCAACTCGAAGATGGTATGGGAACGCCTAAGCAAATTTAATGAGCTAGGCAGAAACAATAAAGTGATCCTCCTCAGGGTGCCAAGGCATATTGGAGTGAAAGGAAGTTAACAAACAGACAATCTCGCACGACAAGTGGCCTCAACGCCACTGATCGGACAAGAGCCATTCTGCGGCCTTGGAAATTCCTATTTCCAAGGAGCACTTGGAAAGGCTGGAGGAGCCTCGAGAGCCAGACAATGGAAAATACTTCCAGAAATGCGGCAGGCTAAAGTTCTCCTCGGAAATTCCAACCGAGAAAGATCTAAGACACATCACATACTGATGGAGTGTGACGCTGTACATCACAAAAGATTGAACATACTGGGAACACACCAGCTGACTGTGGAAGAAATAGCACAAAAAGATCCCCTCAAAATCCTCAAATTTCTGAAGGAATTGAATCTTGAGGGGCTGCTATGAACAAGAAATCCTTGATATAGCAAAATCAGATGGGGCAAAATAGATCTAATTAGGTCGCAGCGCATCTGGCACCATCCAACCTACCAATACCAATACCAAAAGCTGTTTGATTACCACAGTTGTATCCAGTCCAAACAGGCCTGCCGACTTGGTACGAGCAGCTCTCGTACAGGTACTGCATGGGCGTCTGGCACCTCACGTTCTTGATTGATCGATAGAGTATTGAGTCAAAATTGTTGGTAGCTTGCTAGTAGAGCGACCTCAAAACATGAATAAGTTGACATCCACCAACTGAGACAATTCACTTTGTACTTTTATTATCACTAAACATTATTATAAAAACCGTAAAGCTGTTTGATTATATCACCGTTGAATCCTGCTAGAACGGGCCTGCCGACTTGGTACGAGCAGCTGTCGTACAGGTACTGCATGGGCGTCTGGTACCACACGTTCTTGGTGGCCCCCTTCTCCAAATCCAAGGTATTCAGCTGGAGGACTCCCAAATGGAAGAATTGTCCGTCAGTTTGTACGCACTGTAGAGTCACCGGGCTAGGAAGAGTACCAACATCGTTCTAAAAATTTCAGAAACTCGTTAATCTTATAGCATATACAGGGTGTTTCCAAAAAAAATCGGTATTCTGTGAAATGAACCATGAACTAGTGGAGCAATTAAACGTTCCAAATTTTTCAGATACTTTGAATTCATTATTTCTTTCCTATCCTAATAATTAGAAATGAGAACATTTTGGCATGAGGGTTTGAAAGCTTGAGGAACAATATATTATAATGAGGTCAGTTTTTCCGCAGAAAAATATGTTTTCGTGAAAAATCGACTCAATCTGTTTATATCAATAGAAACAAACGCACTGTCCATGATAATATTTTGATAGCTGATATAGAGGGAGGAAGCGTTTGAAGTGAGACACTCTGTATGTCTTATCATCCCTACAGGTATTTTCAATATTGTCACAGATAAAACATTTGTTCGAATATGAATCAGTTAGAACGGTGATGCAACTAATTAGTCATTCTGTAGTCGAGTAGGTGAATCAAGCTCTCATATTCAGTCTTTTATTAGCGTTCATTGGGTACGGTCGAATCAAGTGAAACAACAAATCTTATATTTTTCACGAATAACAAATAGCGCGAGTGGTATTGATAAACATTTCACTCGAAATCTATATCAGTGAAAAATCAATTAGATTTTTTTGTTTTTTCCGGAATGCTGGTTCAGTTTGATAATTATAGCGCATTTGTCGTTTCGGTGATATGCTGTGAAAAATAAACTGTGAAAGTGGACTATTGTGAATGGATTTTGTGTTGTTTCCATGCAGGTGAGTAGCATGTAGTAGTAGAAAATAAGCTATTTTCTACCTTGAACGAGATAGAGGAAAGTTCTCTCCTCTTCCATCTTTCTCTTCAATGCTACCGACATGACCGCATTGAAATATAGAGAGGTTCGATGTTATAAATGTCATTGACTGATAACTTTCCGAATTTTGGAAATTAAATTTCCAATAATATAATTCTGATTTCGACATAATTTGTTGATATCGTTAAATTTGACACTCTGCTGGATTCAAAAATAGTTCAGAACAAACTAGATCACTAGATGTTAGACAAGGAAAGATTTATCGGACCTCCTCTATATTTCATGGTTTTTAACTCCTAGATATAAATTTTCTTGTAATTTCTATGGAGGCTTTCAAAACAACAAGACATCTGAACAGCATTTTTACGAACGTAAATAATTTTACTCGAAAAAGGAAAGTTTAACAAAAAAAGTATATCCTGTGTTATCTTTCAAACCATGATTTTCTAACTAGTGGAGCAATAAAAAGTTCCAAAATTTGCAGTTACTTTGAAAAATATTTCTATCCTATCATATCCTGATAATTAGAAATGAGAAAACTTTGGCATGAAGGTTTGAAAGCTTAAGGAACAATATTATGAGGTTAGTTTTTCCGTAGAGAAATATGATTTCATGAAAAATCGACTCATTTCATTTAAATCAATAAAAACGAACGCACTGTCCATAATAATGGTTGTCTCTGAAGAACTGATCATATTAATCGTTATTCATACCAGTCCAAATTTGGTAAAAATTGCACGTAATAGCTGATATAGGGGGGTGGAAGCGTTTAAACTGTTCAAAGTGAGACACACTGTATGTCTTTTCATCCCTACGGGTATTTTCAATATTGTCACAGATTAAACATATTTTGTTCGAATATGAATCGGTTAGAACGGTGATGCAACTAATTAGTCATTCTGTAGTCGAGTAGGTGAATCAAGCTCTCATATCAATCAGTCTTTTATTAGCGTTCATCGGGTACGGTCGAATCAAGTGAAACAACAAATCTTATATTTTTCACGAATAACAAATAGCGCGAGTGGTATTGATAAACATTTCACTCGAAATCTATACTGAAAAATCAATGAGATTCTTGTGTTTTTTTCCGGAATGCTGGTTCAGTTTGATTAATATCGCGTATGTGTCGTTTCGGTGATACGCTGTGAAAAATAAACTGTCAAAGTTTACTATTGTGAATGGATTTTTGTGCATGTGAGAGCTGTAATATTTCCATGTATGTAAGTAGAGAGTAGCATGTAGTAGCAGAAAATAAACTCTTTTCTACCTTGCACGAGATAGAGGAAAGTTTTCTCCTCTTCCATTTTTCTTTTCAATGCTACCTACATGACCGCATTGAAATATAGAGAGGTTCGATGTTATAAAATGTCATTGACTGATAACTTTCCAAATTTTGGAAATTAAATTTCAAATAATATAATTCCGATTTTGACATCATTTTTTGATATCGTTAAATTTGACACTCTGCTGGATTCAAAAATAGTTCAGAACAAACTAGATCACTAGATGTTAGACAAGGAAAGATTTATCGGACCTCTTCTATATTTCATGGTTTTTAACTCATAGATGTAAATTTTCCTGCAATTTCTATGGAGGCTTTCAAAATAACAAGACATCTAAACAGCATTTTTACTAACGTAAATAATTTTACTCGAAAAAGGAAAGTTTAACAAAAAAATTATATCCTGTTTCATCTAGTGGAGCAATAAAACGTTCCAAATTTTGCAGTTACTTTGAACTTATTATTTTTTCGGGACTCAAAATGAAAAAGTATTTCTATCCTATCATATCCTAATAATTAGAAATGAGAAAACTTCGGCATGAAGGTTTGAAAGCTTGAGGAACAATATTATGAGGTTAGTTTTTCCGTAGAGAAATATGATTTCATGAAAAATCGACTCATTTTATTTAAATCAATAAAAACGAACGCACTGTACATAATAATGGTTGTCTCTGAAGAACTGCTCATATTAATCGTTACGTAATAGCTGATATAGGGGGGTGGAAGCGTTTAAACTGTTTAAAGTGAGACACACTGTATGTCTTTTCATCCCTACGGATATTTTCATTATTGTCACAGATTAAACATTTGTTCGAACATGAATGCGTTAGAACGGTGATGCAACTAATTAGTCATTCTGTAGTCGAGCAGGTGAATCAATGAATCAGGCTCTCATATCAATCAGTCTTTTATTAGCGTTCATCGTGTACGGTCGAATCGAGTGAAACATAAAAAAGTTGTATTTTTAACGAATATCAAATAGCGCGAATGGTATTGATAAAAGATTTTTGTGTTTTTTCCGGAATGCTGGTTCAGTTTTGATAATTATAGCGCATGTGTCGTTTCGGTGATACGCTGTGGAAAATAAACTGTGAAAGTGGACTATTGTGAATGGATTTTTGTACATGTGTAAGCTGTGATGTTTCCATGTAAGTAGCTACGGTTTTATTGTGTTCATTATAAATAAGAATGTGATAGCGGAACTAAGCTATTTTCTACCCTGAACGAGAAAGAGGAAAGTTCTTTCCTCTTCCATCTTTCTCTTCAATGCTACCTATATGGCAGCATTGAAATATAGAGAGGTCCGATAAATATTTCCTTGCCTAATATCTAACTTACGCCACTGCACTATTTTCGATGTTATAATAATGTGATGTGATATTGTGTCTTCTAACCGTCTTGCATAAAATGATTAATAATAAAATCAACTCTCCAGGAATCCTGTCATTAATACGATTCATTGTTCCTTCAAGAAAAATCCGATCATTTGTAATGTTCCTCCGCCAGATCCTCCGCCAGATCTCCTGTTGTATCCATGTTTCGACTGGCAAACGAATATAATGTCTTTATAAATATTGATTTGATTAACTCAGAAAAAAACCTATAGAACTGCAATATTGAAGCATATTCTAGCTTTATCAGTTTGAGGTAGCCCCATTCATCAATTTATTTATCAATCTATTAATTATTATATAGAAATTATAAATCTCGAAGCCAATCAAACCTTGATTCAATGATTGTACTCACTGTTCATATAGGTATACTAAAATCTCATTTTTTATACCTATATGTTCAATGTAGGTATAGGCATCATTACTTTCGATCTATGTTTCGAAATATGTTATTTTTATGTTTAATTATCCATGTAACTAGGTTGTAAAATCTCTATGGATAATAATAAATAAATAAATAAATAAATAAATAAATAAATAAATAAAATAAATATGTATGTCATAAATATCATTGACTTTCCGAATTTTGGAAATTGAATTTCATCATTCTGATTTTGACATCGTTCTTTAATATCGATAAATTTTACATTCTGCTGAATTCAAAAATAGTTCAGAACAAACTAGATGTTAGACAAGGAAAGATTTATCGGACCTCCTCTATATTTCATGGCTTTTAACTCCTAGATGTAAATTTTCCTGTAATTTCTATGGAGGCTTTCAAAACAACAAGACATCTAAACAGCATTTTTACGAACGTGAATAATTTTACTCGAAAAAGGAAAGTTTAACAAAAAAAGTATATCCTGTTTTATCTTTCAAATCATGATTTTCCAACTAGTGTAGCAATAAAACGTTCCAAAATTTGCAGTTACTTTGAACTTATTATTTTTTCGAGACTCAAAATGAAAAAATATTTCTATCCTATCATATCCTAATAATTAGAAATGAGAAAACTTTGGCATGAAGGTTGAAAGCTTGAGGAACAATATTATGAGGTTAGTTTTTCCGTAGAGAAATATGATTTCATGAAAAATCGACTCATTTCATTTAAATCAATAAAAACGAACGCACTGTCCATAATAATGGTTGTCTCTGAACAACTGATCATATTAATCGTTATTCATACCAATCTAAATTTGGTAAAAATTGCACGTAATAGCTGATATAGGGGGGTGAAAGCTTTTTAACTGTTTAAAGTGAGACACACTGTATGTCTTTTCATCCCTACGGGTATTTTCATTATTGTCACAGATTAGACATTCGCTTGAACATGAATGCGTTAGAACGGTGATGCAACTAATTAGTCATTCTGTAGTCGAGCAGGTGAATCAATGAATCAGGCTCTCATATCAATCAGTCTTTTATTAGCGTTCATCGTGTACGGTCGAATCAAATGAAACATAAAAAAGCTGTATTTTTAACGAATAACAAATAGCGCGAATGGTATTGATAAGCATTCCTCTCGAA